CAAAGCTGCCGACTACATCGAGGTTGTTCGGCTCAACGACCAAGACGGGCTTACATCTGCGTGCCGTACCAACCTTAGGGGTGTATCTAGGTGTTTCGGCGCAGTAGTCATGATCTCTTCCCCCGATCAAGGTCTGGGGGCTGTCTGGAATTATACTCTTCGCTCCGACGGCGCTCTCGAACAAGCCATTGCCAAGTTCAACATTGACAAGGACAATGATCAGCAAGTCTACATGGCACCCATACAGCGCACCGTTGACCAGGTCATTGCCCAGCTCAACTCGAGCTCCAACAGTGGCAAGTTGGCCAATACTCAGCAGTACCCTTTCACCAGCCTGAGCCAGGACGAACGTGACGACAAGATTCGGCAGATGTTCCAAAAAACCATCAAGGGATGGATGGGCGTTGCTTTTCTGGGAACTGTTGTTTGGGTATCGTACCACCTTACAGGATTCGTTGCTACTGAGCGCGAAAGCGGCATGTCGACGCTGATCGACTCCATGATGCCAGTACGGAAGCCCTGGCTTGCCATGACGGCTCGAATCCTCGCTCATCATTTTTCCTTCTCTCTTGTCTACCTTCCAGCTTGGGTTATTGGATCTCTGATTGTGCGTAGTGGCGTTTTTGCCAATACCAATGTTGGAATTGTTCTCATATTCCACATCCTCGGCGGTCTTGCATTCTCCTCCATGGCATTGCTGTTTGCTTCTTTTTTCAAGAAAGCTCAGCTCAGCGGCATCACTGCTATTCTTTCAATTGCTCTACTTGGAATCCTAGCCCAGTCTCTTACTTCCCCCAAAACCGCCGTGGTTGCTGTTCTATCGTTCTTTTTCACGCCCTGCACCTTTGTCTACTTCCTTACATTCATGGCGCGTTTTGAGGAAGAGGACAAGCCTACCAACCTCCTCGCGGTCGCTCCGAAAAGCCCCTGGAACATCTCTGGTATTGTTCTCTGGGTCTTCCTGATCATACAAATCTTCGCCTATCCGCTGATAGGGGCGCTCATCGAACATACCCTCTACAGCAATGATACACCAGGCCGCAAGGTGCTGCTGAAGCAGGACAAGGTGGATGCTCTCGGGGGGATTGCTGTACGGCTGCAAGAGTTTACCAAGATATACAACCCTAGTATTATCTCACGGATTTTCAATCGAGGCTCCAAGAGGAAGCAACCCGTCGTCGCCGTCAATGGACTGAACCTGGAGGTCGGCCAAGGGCAAATCGTTGCTCTTCTTGGCGCGAACGGGAGCGGGAAAAGTACAACACTCGATGCCATCGCAGGAATGAGCAAGTTGACGAGCGGATCCATACACATTGATGGGAGAGCTGGCCTAGGCATTGCTCCTCAAAAGAACGTACTGTGGGACGACCTGACAGTAGAGGAGCACATTCGGATCTTCAACCACCTCAAAGCCCCGAATGCCCGGGCCACTACTGACGCTACCAATGAGCTCATCAAATCTGTCGATCTCTGGAAGAAGCGAAAGGCTTTTGCCAAGACTCTTTCAGGCGGTCAAAAGCGCAAGCTCCAACTGGGAATGATGCTGACGGGTGGGAGTGGTGTCTGCTGCGTCGACGAGGTCAGCAGCGGCATTGACCCTCTTTCGAGGCGCAAACTCTGGGATATCATTTTGGCTGAACGCGGCCGCCGAACAATGATTTTGACCACTCATTTCTTGGACGAGGCTGATCTCTTGGCTGACCACATCGCCATCTTGTCCAAAGGAACTCTACGCGCCGAGGGCTCGTCTGTGGCATTGAAGGATAGTTCGGGTGGAGGATACAAGGTTCATGTTCCCAAGGATACGGCCACCGGAACCCTGCCTGATATTGAGGGTGTTGAGAAGAAGGATGCCTTTGATCTTGTCACTTATGTTGCACCTACGTCACAGCTCGCAGCCACCACCATCAAGCAACTCGAAGCTACTGGCATCGACGAATATCGATTTTCCGGACCCACCATTGAGGACGTTTTCCTTCAGGTTGCCGAGGAGATCAAGGACGAAGAAGCTTTCCGCAATGCCAGCGCTGCCGCGAACGAGAAAGCGTCGTCAGATGGGGAAGACAGCAGCAACCGAGGACTGAAACTCATGGACGGACGAAGGGTTGGATACGTGGAGCAGGCCGTCATTCTCTTCCGCAAGCGCTTGACTATTATCAAGCGGAACCGGCTTCTTTACCTTTTCGCCTTTCTCCTCCCCATCTTCGCCGCTGGGATGACCTCGCTTTTTGTCCAAGGAGAGAACCCGCCCACCTGCAACCCAGCAGATCAGTCAACCCGGAACGCAGCGACCGAGGACGCCTTCAGCCAGGCCGATAAAGACACAGTCATAACATTCATGGCTGGGCCTTCGTCAAAGATTAGCACGGATGCTTTCGCACGAGTTATCGAGCCTCTCATGGCTGGTTTGCGCAGTGGCCGAGCGGCCTCATCCGCTGTGTCGAAATTGAAGATCGTCGATACCTTTAGCGAGTTTGAAACCTTTATCAAGGATCACCCGAAAAACATCACCACGGGTTTCTGGCTGGGGGATGACAACCAACCCCCGACCTTTGCCTGGGTTGCGAATCTTTTCATCACAAGCCCCCTTCTCGCTCAGGGGTACCTCAACACTCTCTTGACATCGGTACCCATCGGGACGACGTGGGCTGCCTTTGAACGCCCTATTAGTGCGACGGCGGGCGATGCCTTGCAGCTTGTTGTGTACATGTGTATCGCTCTGTCAGCGTATCCTGCCTTCTTCTCCCTCTACCCCAGCAACGAGCGCCGCAGGTTTGTCCGTGGCCTGCAATATTCGAATGGTGTGCGACCGTTCCCCCTTTGGATTGCCTATCTGCTTTTTGACCTCGTCATTGTTCTGGTCAGCTCTGCCCTCATCACAGCGATTTGGGCTGCCGTTTCCAACATCTGGTTCAACCTTGGCTATGTCTTCCTGGTTCTATTCCTCTACGGCATAGCTTCTACACTCTTCGCCTACCTGATATCCCTCTTCACCAAGACCCAGCTGGGGACATACGCATGGGCAGCAGCCACGCAGATGTTTGTCTTTGTCGTGTACGTTATTGCCTACATGTCAGTGCTCACCTACACCCCCGTCACAAGAGTTGATAGCAACCTACGCATCGTTCACTTTGTTACTTCCATCTTCGCGCCGATTGGGTCCATGGCAAGAACTCTCTTTGTCACTACAAATCTGTTTTCTACAGCTTGTGATGAGAACATGGTCACGACAAACCCGAGCGGCATTCTCTACTACGGCGGTCCTATTCTATACCTCATTCTACAGTCTTTCATTTTGTTTGGTTTAATCATTTGGTTCGACACTGGGTCGGCCGGTGCCTCACTCAGAGGCCTCTTTGAAGGTCGAAGGAAGAAGGTCGAGACTGAGGAGGAAACCCCAGACGAGGATGTCGTGGATGAGCTCAGCCGAGTTACGGACAACGCAGACGACAATGGCCTTCGAGTGATGCATGTCACAAAGAGCTTTCGCAGGAATACTGCTGTCGACAACGTTTCTTTTGGCATTAAGCGGGGTGAGGTGTTTGCACTCCTTGGTCCCAACGGCGCTGGCAAGTCCACCACAATCTCACTCGTACGAGGCGATATCAGGCCTGACCACAATGGTGGCGATGTTTTCGTGGAAAATGTCTCTGTCACCAAGAATCTTGCTGTGGCACGGAAGAATCTTGGAGTGTGCCCCCAATTCGACGCCATGGATCAGATGACAGTACGTGAGCATCTCGAATTCTACGCCAAGATTCGGGGCATTCAAGATGTGGAACATAACGTGAGGGCTGTCATGCAGGCTGTTGGACTGGAGTCATTTGCGAACCGCATGGCGAACGCATTGTCTGGAGGAAACAAGCGAAAGCTGAGTCTTGGAATTGCATTGATGGGGAATCCTACTGTTGTGTTATTGGATGAGCCTTCATCTGGACTTGACGCGGCCTCGAAGCGTGTCATGTGGAAGACCTTGGAGTCGACTGTCCCTGGACGGTCGATTCTTCTCACGACTCACAGCATGGAGGAGGCTGATGCGTTGGCTGGGCGCGTTGGCATTCTTGCTCGGCGAATGTTGGCTGTGGGAACACCAGATGGGCTCCGACATCGTTTTGGAGATGCTCTTCATATCCATCTTGTTTCTACTAGCGCACCGCGTACAAGTCAAGATGAGATGGCTCGCATCATCAACTGGATCCGACAGACACTACCGTCAGCAGAGCTCGAAGAGAAGACGTATCACGGGCAGATTCGTTTCTCTGTTCGCGCAAGCCAGGTCATTGCAGCGACCTCGGACCGTGACGCTCAAGAGATGGAGAAGAGTGGCGAGGATCTCAGCCAGAGCGCAATCGGACATCTGGTTGTCCTTTTGGAGGAGAACAAGGAACAGCTGGGCGTGGGCCATTACAGTGTCAGCCCGACAACACTAGACCAAGTGTTCCTTACGATTGTAGGGAGGCACAACGTTAAAGAAGAGAATTCAGAGGAGAAGCCAGAGAGCTTCTGGAGAAAGGTTTGGAGGTTTGGTCGGTCTTAGTTTTGGCCGATTGTTGTCCTCCTTCTGGGAGGTGTATTGTTATCCTCTCTTCCAAGGGTTGGGAAGGGGGCCCAACGCCGAGCGTGGAGAAGAATCGAAGGCCAAAGTACCTAATTTTAATAAGTATTGTTATGTTGAAACGGTTTGATGCTTTGCGCAAGTGTTATTGCTGGAGTACACATGGACTGCCTTTGTTGTCATGACCGTGGTCATGTGGACAATGTAGACCACGGTAGTTGTTCAGACACGGGACGGTTGTGTGAAGAGAAAAGGGTCGAACACCAGAACAGAACTCGCATAGGCACTTGTATACGTAGATATATATAATTACCTGCATGTCGAGTCCTGTGAAGAGCGAGAAGTCAACTTGATGAACAACTGACGTTGAATTTGGAATTCCGAGTCCGCTAAAAGAAACCAGTTTCGAGTTTACACGATTTGAGATATCTAAGAACAGCTAAGAATGTGCTGGAAAGTTATCATCCATAATCTTAGATGCGACGTGCGGCCGCTCATCTACGATGGCATGTATGGCAAATACATCGACTCATTCCAGACGCCCACACCATGCAAATGCGCTGCCAAGCACCAGGCACGCGTCCAATGCCAGGACCACGGCTGCTGCTTTCTGACGGAGTATATAGAGGCGTGCTCTCATAAAAATTGTACACAGACCTACGACATTCATCGCTACAAACACCTACCACAGCAGCAAAAAGTCTGGATGATCAATCCCATCTTTTACACACAGCCCGGCGATGACTGGGAGCCCATACAATATGTGGATGTAGCCATCTTCTCGAGAGACTTGCCACCCCAATATATTGACTGGGCAGACGAATTCAAGGACGAATTCACCAATCTCGTCCTAAAGGGCCGTGAGATCAACAAGAAGCATGCGGAGCTCACCCAGATACACGCCGAAATCGACAGCGAACGGAAGCTACACGCAGCGCAGCACAGTATCTTGTGCAAAGGCACAGGCGTGATCTGCCCGCTTAAACAAAAGCTCAAGGCGGCCGAACAGACGGCGGCGAACTTGAGGTCCGAGGGTCTGACGCTGTCGGTAGAGTTTAAGAGGTTGTGGGCTGATGTGAATAATAGGGTGGTGAGGTATATGGTCATGGAGCAGGTTAATGAGATTTTAAGGCTGAGAGGAGTAACATGAGCATGAATGCAATGGTAAAGATACACGCTGTTCCCTCTGTTTATGATTCTGGTTCTAGAAATGATGTTATGACGTTGAGAGTCTGGGGTAGATTTCTTGTTCGGATACCTATAGGTGTAAGTGGCTGTATAGAAGTGTTTCTTCTTTGCTATGGACACATGTTCCGGTTGCTGATACGCTGGGTGAACTTGAGAAAAATTCAAGCTGTCAATGGGGGAATGTTCTTCTGTTCCTGGACATGTATATATGCTTCTCTCATTGTTCTTCGAACATAGAACGTGACACAATAGACAACTGGACATGTAGATTTCCCGGTATCAACGCGGTTCTCAATCAGTACAATCCATTACGTCTATAACAGTTCTTGCTCTTATCCACTCCACAGAAATTGACTATGATAGGGAGGCACCTCTTCGCTACTCATATGCCTGCCAATATTTGATCTCTTGTTCATCACATTTGTGATGAACTATGAACATTTCCGCACTATGCCCGCCTGGGCCACAGTTTCCCGGACACTGTCAAATACTGTCCTTGGTTCCCCGCGGAAAACGTCACACTCTATAGCTTCCAAAATGCTTCTCATTCTCCTTTTCTTTTTATGCCGCGGGCGTCTTTTCGAGTAATGAAAGGCTCTCGAGGCGCCAAGAGACAATATGGAACAGCAAACTCCAAATGACCGGCCATATCGGTCCCACCTCCGGCCGGCCTGTCTCCCGTGCAGGAAGCGTAAATCGCGGTGTCAGTCTGAGGCCTCCTCCGAGACATGTCTCATGTGCCGGGCGCACCGCACCGACTGCGTGTTTCCCTCTGGGCCGAGTGGGACCCCGGGTGCCCGGCGTCGGCGGCAGACCCGGTCATTCGGGGCTTCTGCTCGGCGTAGTACGGTACCCCAGTCCACTACAGACGCCTCAATTCTTGAGCATCCAGACTCTAACACGGAAGCGAACTCACTTCTTAATCAAGCTTCTGTTCCGATATCCAACACCCCTGTTGGTGCTGCCCAGGGTTCTTCAAGAAATCGAGAGTGGCCACCGCATCAAGACATTCAACAAGACGAGTCCCCCCTGGCACTAGGATCGAACGATGAGCAGCAACACAACCTCCACATTGTCGGACCGGCAGTCACGTCGGACAATCAAGTCTTGTCCGACTACCTATCCGCAATGCCCAGTGCAACACGAGGCTCCAGGATGGTCATTCCGGTGCCGGGTAATAGATCCCGGCCCGTCTTGTTCACCATGGTGCAGAAGCAGCCGCTGGGGCTCGACTCGAATCGCAGCCTTCCCGCAGAAAAGCTCCAGGTGGTTGAGAAGGTTCTGGAGCCTTTCATGGCGGATTTATTAGACGTGTAAGAATTGCGACAAGTACCCGCGGGCTTCAACTGACATGCTGCAGCTACTTTGAGAAGGTCAATTCATCCTTTCCTCTTCTAGATGAGACGTCATTTCGAAGGCAGTACAGTACAAACAAAGATGGGATATCTCCTGCACTTCTGGCGAGTTTATACGCGCACTCAATGACATTCTGGGGTAGCTCTCCCAGTCTCTCTCGCCAAAGGCGCCCTGATGGGCGCTTCATCTGGAACCTTGCTACAGAAGCTACTTACTCGCAGCTGTATCGATCTCCAGGAATGTCAATAATCGAAGCAATACTATTGAATGTGGGCGGTCGACCAACTACGTCCCTCATTGGCAATGGTGTGCTGCTTGGGTCTGCTGTAGCCATGGTTCACTCGCTCGGATTGAATCACAATCCGATTCCTTGGGAGATACCACAGTCTGAGAAGAATCTGCGGATGAGAATTTGGTGGGCTCTACTAGTCCATGATAAATGGTAAGATGTCATCACCGGTGTAGCGACTACTCTAATAAGGGCGCAGGACAAGTCTCTCTCATGGGACACCCCCACACATCTCAAAGACGCAATACGACGTGCCTTCACCTACAATAGAGAACATCTGTGAAAAGGGTTCTTCGGCAGAGAAAGTATTAAAAGCTTCCATCTATTTGGCTCTTGTTGGGTTGACCGACGTCTTGGATCTGCACTTGAAGCACATCTACCAGCTGAGGAAGCCGGATGATCTCGGAGATGTCACTCATCTGGAGCTCGCTCTCAACAACTGGATCGACTCTTTAAACGACAGAGTTCGCCGAGTGATTATCCGAGGAACGAACCTCGACATTCCAGGGGCACCGAATCTGCGTTTGGCTTACCTCACTGTCCGGCTTCTGCTCCAACGGATTGAGCTCGAGGCCGAGAAACGCATCTCCAACGCTGGAGATGGTCGTTTACTGAACTGCTACATGGAAGCTCGAAGAACGTCAGAAGAGATGCTCATCTTGACTCAAGAGTTGCAACCTGAGCATCTTGCTGATTTCTGGCTACCCAGCAGTGCCTTTTCATTCCCGGCCGCCGTGAGCTTCCTCCTAAGGTGCGCTCTGGAGACGGAGAATTCCCCTTCTGGCCTTTCACAGAGCAACTCGTTAAAAATTGCATCTGATCTTCTCACCGCTCTTCGATCTCACAAGGAGAAGCACGCATGGGATCTTGGAGATATCTGCCTCGCGCAGCATACCGAGGTTGTGGACAAGCTTCTGGCCATGGTACCTGAAGACCCTGGGCCAGACGGGGCTTCAGATTTCTCGGAATTCGCTATGCTTGATCCTTCTTTTATCGATCAATTCCTCCCGAGCCTATGGGATCCTCTGCAGAATGCGTGGTAGGCTTGATTTCCCGCGGGAAAGTTGACAATGTGTTTTGCGTAATACAAAGAGTCAAGATCTATTCGCTCACAATGCTTCCTTTGTCATATGAAGACCAAGAACCATGCATGCTCCCGAATGCTTTGCTTCACCAGTCAATCCACTGGCCTAATTGGAGCCCGAACAGTCGTCCTTACGACCTCCCTAGGAAGTGCTCTCGGCCAGTCGCCTTAGAGACTGAAGAACGAGGAACCATCCATCCTGGCCAAGAAATGGGGGTTTAATAGCGCTCACAGTCCCTTATCCATGAATTAGTAGATGGTCTCTCCACAACGATAGCCGCGACTCTGAAACTGGTTGAATTGACTATATGATATGATGCCGGCCGTGAAAAAGAGGGCAGAACAGCAGGAAGATCAATGAAAGAAAGGAAGATTCCTAGAAAAGAGACTCAACGGAAAAGCTTCAACACGAAAGTGCAACATGCTAGGAAAACAACCGTCGCAGCAAACTCAACACATATCGCCCCAAGCGCCGTACTCCTCCCAGACAAAACACGTCTCCCTAAACGCCTTCGCTTCCCTCGCCTCCCTAGCGAATCTATCTTCGTCGAATACCATTTCAAGTCCATCGAGAATGTCTTCCTCCTCTGGATTCACAGCCTCACGATCGAGGTCTCCCTGGACGTAGAGTTCCATGCACCCGCCACACGGTTGCCTCGTATGCTTGATGCAATAGCAAACTTGGCACATTTCTCGTCGTCGGTGCTCAATACGCGTCAGACTCTTGTTGCTGCAACCCATTAGGGCTACACACCGCTGGCAACGCATCTTCCACGCCGTGTCTGGTTCCTTCTCGGCCATCTCAAGCTGCTTCCAGGGGAACTTTTCCTTGGGGCGGATGCGGAAGCACATGTAGCAGGGAAAATCCACCATTTTGGCGAAATCCATGTCTTCCACTTCCTTTTCCCACTTGTCCCGGACGAAGCGGTAGCGGGTAGGTAGAGAGACCCAGGTGTTTGGCTTGACAATGTCGTTTAGGTTGCAACTAGCTTGGGCAAGACGGAGAACATCTTGAAAGTCCAGGAAAGAAGCAATGTTGAACATGATGTGTGTTGGGAGTTTTTCCAGGCCTTGGCATTCTCGTCGAGGAGACTTGGTGCAGAGGGCCAAGGCCTCAGCAACCTCGTCGTCGGTAGAACTCTCATCGAGAAGATTGCCTTGGCATTTCGTAGACTTTGTCTGATATCGACAGCAGTTGTGACAAAAGTAGTACTTGACATCTTTCGTCCCGTTCCATACACCCTTGCCGTGCTTATATCGCTTCAACTTGCCAGAACAGTCAAGACAAAAGCGATTCTGCCACGCATCCCGACCAAACGAAGCAGGCCGTCCAAACTTTTTCTTCGGAAGGAAGCGAAAGCATTTGTAGCAAGCGAATAGTTCCTTTCCAATCTCTCGAAAGTGACGATCCTGGTTCTCGCAAAAGTCGGCGACTTCAGACCTAGAGAGGATGGCGATGGGGTCGAGAATCTGGTGAAAGAAGCGGTTTGTAGAAGCAAGATTGACGATTCCTGGGTAGTCGAGTTGCTTTGCTACTTCAAAGTGAATGTCAAAGGGCAGGTTTTGGAACCTGAGGGGGTTGTTGGGGTCCATCTTGGCTTGGGTTGCCAGATATGGCGGTTCAAGTCCAAGTGAACTTATAGTTGATATCGTTGGATCTTGATATAGTCGCTCAAGGTTGACGTGTGTGATTCGGTCGCTCAGTTGTTGTATCTTGTGTATGTTTCCAATGCTGAACAAGGAGGTTACGTATCATGGCTTTGTTGGTGTAACCCATGTGTCGCCAGTACAAATCAGGGCATGAGTCGAAACAAAAGTAGAAAAGATTGTGTATACAGATCTTGAAAAAGTGAATGCGTCACATCTTGAGATACTCACACTCCCGTTTTCCATCCTTCTTTTATAATGAGTTACGATGCTGAGGTCGGCCCCCATTGCCGCCTGACTCACACGGCACATGTGTACAACGACCATGCAAAGTTTGGCTCAAGCCTAGGAAAATAGGCACTGCAGCCTAGAGATGATACTATTTCTCTACTCAAGTGCCAATCACGTTTCGAGTCATTCACGGGCACTATGTTGTCGTCTTACTCAGGGTGGCTGGGGTGGGCCGGGATATAGGCAGACGATGCTAAAGACCCTTGGCATGGGAGTGAGTCTGGATCACGACAGCACCCGAGATAGAGGGCAGAAACAATCAACCAAGATGCCTAGTTACAAGATATTGCGATTTGTGATATGCGTGCCTATCACATAGTAAGAAAAAGTAGATATGAGAGCTATCAATTTGTTACCTATTTGCCAGTGCAAGCAGCAAACAAAGAAGTCATCAGCTTGGATCCCCCTCATACACCATACGCACATCAGAATGCAGTCTCACACCACATTGATCATTGTACCTGCATCTGGTGGTAAGACCAATATGCTTCTCCGATCCTCGGTCTTTCAGGTGACTCAGTTGGGTGGTGAATCCTCGCGGATGATGGTAGAGCATTCCCAAGCTCTTGTCTATGCTCACTACAGCAGCCTAGGTATTCTAGGAACTTGGTCGCATAAAGTGCCATCCTCATGGATCCCGAGTTTGACCTGTCACGCTTCCCTCAAACCCCTTCTCAAGCCATGAGACCCTCTCCGAGAAGGCAAGATGTGTGAGCACCTGCAGCGTGGGCACGATCAAGCCTAGTCGCTGATCCAGCCGCCGTCCTCATGCGAAAGATGACCCTCTGAGTGAATCCTTTGACTTCCTTTGAGATCAAGCCAAGGGCTACATGCCCAACCGTATTCAGCAAGACGGTGCGCCCTAAAAGCTTCGCACCAACCAGGTTCTTTGTCAATGTATTCATGCTCCAAAGAACTTCAAACAGTATATCATTCGACGCCGTTTCGAGTGTTGTATCAACAAGCCTTGGCGGAGCTATCCTTGCGCAAAGGGTCCAGCACTGATACTCGGTTCATCGAAATGGTCTGTCGAAAACTATGCATAATGCGCACAGTGAATCTCGGTTGGGTTTGTATGTTGGTGATCTTACTTAGAGCTGCGATCCTTGTTGACATTCCTTCGCGCTGGTGAGTCAGTGTAATCCTACCCGGCAGAGCTATCAAGTAACAAGAATTGTTGAGCGATCAAGATAAAGACAAGAAATATGTGGAATTAGCTATAAGACTGGGGTATATAAAGTCGTTACTCATAAAGTTCAGCATCAAGTGAACATGTCCAACGTTGCTCCAATGATATCCTACTCAGATGAAATGCCCCTTTCCCGGGCATATCTGCTGTAAATTCCATATACAAGCGCTTCTCGCTCGCTCCCAATTTCGGTTTATGAGGTTGAACAAAGGAACATGTTGTCGTGTCGTCGTGTGGTGAGTGGGCTATGCCCGGTATTTTCGAGTTTCGGTCGTCATAATACTGATCTCTTAATGTCGAGAGAGGATAGGTCGTCGACTGGAAGGTATGGGGATGCTCTCGCTTTGAGCCGACGGTGTAGCTTGACTCGCTTGACAAGAGCCATGATGCAGACTCCAACGACCATAAGGGCTTCGATGCTGAGGAGGGCGATGTAAACGATGTTGAGAATCTTTTGCTCGCGCAGATAGGCAAAGGTTGACATGCTGCCGGGCAGCGGCGCTGAACTTGGTACGAGAGGCATGGATGGGAAGTGAAAGTCTAGATTTGTTGCATTTCCTTCTATTTTGTTGGGATTTATCGTCAGTCGCGTGTCTCGATGGGCAACGGGGGGGCTCGCCACTCTCACCTTTTACCCTCGATCAACAATCAAACTCCAAGCGCCTCGCAAGACTGAAAATGAAATATTCGCGCTCGCAAAAGAGAATGTGTGGTTGTGTTAAAGAAGAAAAAAACTCTTGGGTGGCGGTGTGGAATAGTATATCATCAGCAACAGAGTCGGGGAGGAGGGAAAGGGTTCCAGTTCCTTTTAGTTTGTTTCCTTGGCGCCGAAACGAATGGAGTCGCCCCCATGGATGGTGTGCTCCTTTTGCAAGGAAGAGGAAGGCCTATTTTAATGCTAGGGTTGCAAAAATGCAGTGCCGTCCGGGGAGGGGAACGACCGCTTTGACCGCCTGGATGCCCGTGTTGGTGTTGGATGGCCGTTTAAATGTGAGGCAGATGGGCAATAAGCCTTTGATCAATGCAGCGAGATGCGCAATTACCGGTGAAACGAAGACAGATTGTGGCCTCATTGTCACCTCTTCGTTTGATCCTCTTGCAGACAGAAGAGAGAGAGAGTCTTGCTGGTGCAGGGATTGCCTGATCCTGGTCTCGGGCGAGGCGATCGCCAACCTTTTTTCGCCCTGTGACCAACTTGCTTGTCCACCCCCAACGCTCGTAAACCACAGTGGGCTTGCTCTAAACTTGGCCAGATGAGGAACCGACAAGAACAAGGCTGGCGGGTCTCAAGCGGGCTCTCCGTCGCGTGACAGTGTTGTATCCTGTGGCATCATGGGAGAGTTTCTGGCCACCGTGACATGATGGGTAGGCATGAAATTTCCCCTGAAATGATCGAATCTATGCTGCAGAGATGATAAGCGAGGGTTCAGACATGGTCAGATAGAGTAGAAGGGGGAATGTCATCAATGAAATTCCCGCTTGTGGCTCTTGCATTTGATGAACAGGGGTTCATGGGTTAGGATGGAGTCGTTACCTCGAAGGCGGTGGGTGGCTGGATAAAGGCGGTGATGAGATGCAGTATCAGTCACTCCAACCAAGAGACCGTCATCATTCTTTCGCAATAGAGGAACATCATCATGTCAAAGAACTAAGTTCAGAGACCGAAACGAAACTGAAATGCTTTGCCTCGAAGCATCACAAGTTACGCGTGTCAAGACGCGCAACCGACACATCGCGTGTCTCATCCGCGTGTGGTGAGTGTGCCATGTAGACGCCGTCGGGTGGGCATCAAGAGAGGCTGTATGATAAAGAGCCTCGGAATGGGTGCATGTTGCAGATAAACCATCATCGTAGAGGGGGTCTGATGCGCAGAAAAGGGTCTTTCACATGTCAGGGCCAGACATGCTCATGCGTCCATGTTTGGTTGAGATTGTCTCATTGCCTTTGCCACGCAACGTAAGGGATGCGTTCCTGAGCGAGCAATCATCAGTGACAGCTACTTCTCCAACAAGCAGTTGATCCCAACATTTTTGGAAAGACATAAGAGGATACTTGTAGATACACATCCCATAGTGGGACAGCCACGTATCTGCCTAACGCCCACCGCTGCACAGCCACGCCTGCACCGCCCATCATGCGACCAACGTGTCGATGACGTCGCCCTCCCCCGCATCATCCATCAACAGCTCCCTCCCTCTCAACTGAGTCCCTCTTCAAGCGCCCAAACAAGCTCCCCACCAACTTGACCAAACACGCCTTGCCTCCCGTCGTCACGATCCAGGTTGTGGTGTCGTCATTCCTACAAGTTTCCGCGTGTTATTATAAAAACCCTTTGCCGCGTCGCAAAACTCGAGCCCTTCAAGCCAGCTTAGATACCCCTCCATTACCCCTCCTCACAACATCCATTCAACAACATCACCTATATCATCCACTTCCCTAACAGACATTCACCATGGCTTCCAACGCTACCGTTCACGTCAAGAACATTGCTGTCGCGACCAGCGACAGCGAGATCAAGGACTTTTTCAGCTTCTGGTAAGTTCACCATGCCCACTAGCCACATGGCATCACGGACCTCCACTAACCTCGGCCACTAGCGGCAAGATCGCTGATCTCAAGGTCACCACCGAGGGCGAGACCAAGTCGGCCGACGTCACTTTTGAGAAGGAGACGGCCAAGAAGACTGCTCTTCTCCTCCACAACACCCAGCTCGGCCCTAACCACCTCGAGGTTACCAGCGCCGGCGAGGATGTCGACGATGATGCCGCTCACCCCACCAAGAACGCCGACCGCGACTCCGACGAGATTACCCAGGAGGAGAAGCCCCGCGCCCGTATCCTGGCCGAGTACCTCGCCCACGGCTACGTGATCGGTGACGCCGCCATCCAGCGCGGAATCGAGCTGGACAGCAAGCACAACGTCTCGAACCGCTTCCTCACCACCCTCCAGAACCTCGACACAAAGTACCACGCCACCGACCGGGCCAAGGCCACCGACCAGAGCTACGGCATCACCCAGCGCGCCAACAGCCTATGGCTCGGCCTCAGCTCGTACTTTGAGAAGGCCTCCCACACCCCCACCGGCAAGAAGATTGCCCAGTTCTACACGGATGGCAGCCGACAAGTTCAGGAGGTCCACGCCGAGGCTCGACGTCTGGCTGACCTGAAGACGGAGGAGGCTGGTGGTAGCGCCTACAAGGCCGCAGGACTCGAGAAGGTGTTTGGCAAGGAGAAGACTTCTGGTACTACTGCCCCCGAGTCGGGTCCTGGTGACTCTACCGGCACTTCCACCCAGCCTGCTCCTACGGAGAATATTCCCAGCGTCAGCGCCCCTGAGGGTGGTGAGAAGCACTAAAGATCATGAAATGATGATGGCCATGAAAACAGTTGATGGGAATGAGGTTTGCTGGGTTTGACAGGATAGTTCTTTGTTGCTTTGTAACGAGTTATCACCTTCAAGCATGGCGCACGTGCAACATGATTTCAAATTGATTCCTCAATCATGATTTATTGAACTTCATAATGTGATTCATCGATGCATCCCGTTGTGAATGATCCTTCCACCAACCAACATTAACAATCCCACCTCCTAAGTTTTGCAACATAAAAATCACTCTTTCTTGGAGCCCTTGGCAAACTTTTCTTTTAGGATGTCCTCGGTAATGGGCTTGGGGTTCGATACGAGATTCTACCTCTGGATCAGCATTGTAAACTGGGGTGCCGTAGCTTAGAGGGACTCACATCAAGCTGACTCTTGGGGTCCTTAACCTCTGTCTTTTCGAGGCCGCCCTTTCCAGATCCAGTAGGATCCTGTAGCTGGCGGCCGCTCTGGCTCTCAGGAGAAGGAGACTCACGACCCTCGGGCATGTTGACTGTTGTTCTTGGTGTAGAGTTGAAAGTTTGGCAGTAAATGTAGGTGGTTGAGTAAAGACGGTTGATAAAGGTTGAAGAAGTTGCAACGGTATCGAAACGGCGCCTCTTAAATACAGGAGCAAGGGATGGAGCTTGTGCTGACTACGGAAGGCATGATTGAACATTGACGTCGAGGCGCGAGTGTATGCCGTCATAGGGAGAATTACATCATGACGCCAGATCGAGATGGTCTCTAGGGATCAATCAATGGCTGAAGCGACGATAAGATTGCGTTCATCCGGGATAGGAATTTTAGGCTCTTGACGGTCTAGTGTCAGCATTTTAAAGCTTTTGGGGTTGTTTGATTGGTGTGAAGCCCTCAAGATGCTGCATCACTGATATCGAGTTTGGGCTTTGGTGGTAAGGTTGGCATATGACCGGGTAATTTCCCTGGTCATACAATGCAGCACAGTATATGCCGGCAATTGAAATAAAACGATGGAAAGCAGTCCTTAATACTCTATGCATGATACCCGGGCGAATTAATGATTCATGCCTTTAGTTAATGCTGCACAAGTACTGACTTAGAAGCCTCGTCGTGGAACAATGACGCATACAAAGCTCTCCACGTATCTCAAGGCCTTACAACGCCCTGATTAACTCAACAGAAATCTCACCTCTTCATCACGGCAGTGACAAGGCAACCAAGCTCACATCACGGCCCAAGCAACAACTGTCACCGAGTTTCAGGGGCTCTGGCAGACCAGTCGGAACTCTTGAGACGGTTTAGGGGAGAGCCTCCGCTGTTTTAGCGCCCGCCTCATCCGTTCCAGTGGTGTCAGCGGCCCGCTAAACCCCGCACCCACGGTGGGAACGCGCGCCCGTAAGGCTCGGGTTCAGGGCGGTCGAGTCCCGTTCCCACACGCGTCGGGGCTTCGGCTTTCCTTTCTTTCATGATAAACCGTCGTTATCCTCCCTTGAGCATCTTTTCGACTCGACTCCAAGCGATACCTCCACTTTACAGCATCGAGAAGCAGCTGTAGCTTCAGCTTCATCACCGGCATGCCGGATCTCAACTCGGTTCCTCCTTCGCCTCATTCTCTTGCGGTATCTCGCCGCCAGTCTACGAACCAGATGGCTGCTCCGCCTGTTCCCCCCTCGCCGTCCCTCAATATCCTCCCTTCGAACCAGAGTGCTGTCAACCAGTCCCAATCTCCATCTCTCCCATCGCCGGTTCTCACCGCTTCGCAACCGCCTTCTCATGCTTCTATCATTCCAGGATCAGCTGGCGAGCATGGCGTTGGACCTGGCCCTGGGCCGTTGAGACATCCTCGACCCTTGACCGCCGCGGAGCTCCATCTCCAGCTTGAAAAGGAACAGGAGGCTGTGGTAAGTAGAGAACAATACGCAAGCTAAACCTCCAGCATCTAATATTCATCATAGGTCAACCGTCTGACTCGAGAGCTCTCCCTTCTTCGAGCTGCCCAGAACGCCTCGGTCGTTTCAAACACATCGTCCACCTCGGCCGCAAACTCGTCCCATGATGTCGCCGAGCAATCTCTTCTCTCCGGATCAGGCTTCTCCATCCCCACCGCTCGTCATCAGCGAACATCATCCACCGCATCCCAGAGCTACGGCAATCAGCAGCTGTCGTCGTCTTACGAGGCGCGGATTCATGCCCCTCGCCCCTCCTCGCATGCTACCCCTCTCTCACGGCAGAACAGTTCCGCCTCTCGTAGGAGCCAGACAAACTCGCCCGGACCGCAAAACAGCCTCGATCCTTCGAACTACTTCCAACATCAGAGGATCCCTGCGCCCACGTCGATTCCCCCGAGTTCAGTCGGTGCAACACCAGGAAGTGTCAGCGAGCAACTGAGCCCTGGCATGATGCCAGCCACGATGCGATACGAAGAGACAGCGTTTTATAGAAACGAGCTCGAAACGGCCAAGAAGGAGAATGATGCCCTGAAGCATCGAATCAGAGAGCTGGAGAGGCAAGTTCGTCAGAGGAGGACGAGCGATGCCAGCCGACCGAGGAGCGAGAGTGTCAGCACCACTGCCAGCTTCAACGTCACCCCAGCCGGAGGAGTCAGCATCGCAGGACCCCGAGACGGAGGCCTCGTCCGACCGGGGGGTGAGCGCGAGCGAGGAATGACGACGCAGAGCGTGCTCAGCGTGGCCAGCGTCGGTGTCGGCGTTCCAGAGGAGGAGCTCAAGGTTGGCGAGAGCGCAGCCAGTGCTGGAGTTGCCCCAAGTGCGCAATGATTGGGGGTTTTAAGTGCCGTTAGGCAAGGCTCGTAGACCTCTGCTTCTGGTGATAGGCTTGGAATGGACATGAAATCACGACTGGGTATGCTGGTATTGGCGTTGGAGGAGCTTTGGAATCACAGGAAGAGCTCTGTAGATATTTTTCTTTCACAAAGCAAGTGCTTAGATTTTTGGTATTTCAACTATTGCTTTGATTCAACTTTTGTTCAGAGAGCGGTATACGCCGCTTTCTCCATCATAGCACTCTCCATCCACGAATCTCTGTTTAGACGCAGCCTCTTGAACTTGGTCTGTACATTGTCTGCAAGTGAAATGCATCCCGTCGTCCTTTGGCCATTCTTCGGATACGGAGGCTGCCTTCTGGGCTATTGTCCCCCAGTTACAACTTTTGCCGGGCATCCATTCGTCAAAGGGATCCAGAGACGGATCCTTGTTGTTGATAAAGTCGAGGACGAGCCGCTCAGGTATGATTCGGGGCTCATCTACCTCGAGGCGCCCTTCACAAGAGGGGAAAACGAGGAAACGGTGCAGCTTGATATCCTTCACCTTTGCCGCACCCCTGATGATCTCGATAATGTCCTCATTGGCGGAACATTGGTGTAGCAGAATATGCTTCAGAGTCTTTGCATGGCCTTCCATGAATTTGAACAAGGGCTGGGAGGTCGGCAACATGGCAAAACTGATCTTGATGGTTTGTAAAAACTCCCATCCACAACATAGCACCGCCTGCAACACCCACTTTGAATGGCTGGTTGGCCTGGGATAGGTTCCGGTTGGTCTGAATCGCAACGACAACTCGCGAATGTTGCTAGCTTCCGTTAGAAAGTACTTCAGCATTCCCTCTGAGCTGGGAGGCCCCCTCCAGTGGCCTCCCGCCGAATCAATCCGAAGATCCAACCCGCCGAGACTCCTCAATGGTCGTTTCCAAGCCACGGTAGAGGCGGGATGCGGGCCAATCATGGGAAGTTGAGCCATGATTAGGCGTATGACAAAGTCCCTACGAGGAATTGGATTGGAAAGGCTCAGCTCTTTTCTGAACAATAGGCCGACCGTTGCTCGGAGAGGACTGGCAGGGAACGAGGCAGGTAGCTCAGTGTGTAGACCTCCCATGGCTTGTAGACACTCGTAATTAAGCCATCTCATGTAGTTCAAGGGATCTTGACACCTAAATGAAGTGATTCTCGACTGAGACCGGCACATGGCGGGCCACAAGGCGTACACGAGTCCGTCTATCTCGTCTCTCTCTGGGTCAAGATCTTGGGGCCAAGTTCTGAGGCAAAGGTGTGTAGGTTAGGCATAGCATCGATGCTCAAGAAGAAGTGGTGACGGAACTCCTTGATGTAGTCTTCATGGCCGGCCCAGGTGTTTACATGTCCGTGGGGGTCATCATGTGTATCGCGTGTGCCAGAAGTTGTCCAAATCAGTTGTTGGACGAGAGGGGCGAGGTTTGGTGATAGGGCTATGCCTTGAAGTCTCTTGATTTGCTTTTCAGCAAAGTTGATCTTAATAGTGTGAAAGAGGCGAGGGAGGATGAAGGGTTCGAGGAAACGCCAGCATATGCGGATGGCTTTGAGTGACGAGGGGGTGAGGTCGTTGAGGATTTGGCAGATGATCTCAGGAGGAAGCTTTTTCATCTTTGAGAGGCGGCGAGTTTTCTTCTTGACAGACTTGGTTGTTTCTGCGTCTATAGTTGAATGACTTAGGGAAAGAAGTAGAAGATAGGGAGCAGAAGCAGTTGAGCTTTTGAACAAAGGGGCAACACTCACAGCAGAGATACGACAAAGAGGTTTCCGTCGGGTAACAACATGGCAAAGAGATTACAGGTCATGTTCAGATATAAAACGAATGGTTGTAAATTCTTTTGTTTGTTTATGTGGGAGCGGGTGAGGTATGTTTCCGTCTTAGATGGCGTCGGGAAGCTGCATGTAATAAGATGGCCCGCTTGACTAACTGCGCATTGCCATTGGCAAGCTGCTAGAGGCATGGTTTAAAATGTATCATGTTGATTGTGGGAAATAGGACGAGGAAATGGAATGATAGGTCCGCTGTTTCGCTCTCACTGAAGCGACATTTGTTCCTCAACCTCACAATACTGCCCTGTGATACGCTTGCTACTTGATCACCTTCTAGCTCTTTACGTCAAGTCTCAACGTCGTTATCCTGCAAGGTTCCTTGCTCCATAGGCAGCTCGTAGTTGCACCTAGCTGTCCGTTTGCCAGCCTGAGTGCTCTGCGTTTGTTAGTGTTTGTGCAAGGAGAGCATGTCTTTGACTGGATTTGTCCAATGTCAGCACCAGAACAAAACATTCAAGAGACGGAACATGGATGAAAATAGACATTAATTTGTGATCAACATACAAGGATACTCTAGTTATCCCCAGCAGGCTTTTGTTCCAGCTCAAAGACATTTGTCATGACCGTATACATGATTGCTGACCGATGCCAACCCTGACAAACAAAGAAAAATGACCCAGAAAGAGATAGTACAAGTGAATTCCTATAGCTCCCAGCAATAAACATTGGTTGCTCGTGCAGACAACAAAGGATAGCATGTCCCCAAACTATCCAGATTGCCCAAAAACTCCTGCATGGTACTCATATCCCCGTATCAATGTCACAGTCGTACAAGATTCATTCGTGTCTCTTTCTCTTAAGGCGTCGTCTCTCTCCGTCATCGGTCGTCTCGCGGCTGGGCGTCAACGCGGGTGTCCGCAGCGAGTTGTTCGTTTCGTTGGCCACAACGACACCGGCTTCCTTCAGCATCGAATCAACGTCCTTCTCGACCCATCGGGGTGATGTTGCTTTCTCTGACAGGGACTGTAGACGTTGAATCGTGGCTTGATCCTTGAGGGACGGGACGATCTTGTAGGCTGCTTTGATGGCGATGCTGGCAACAAGAGCCTTGCGCGTCTTGTTGCGGAGGACTACGACCAGCTTCTCGATCTGCTTTCGGTAGCTCAAAACTTCTTCTTCGAGGTTCTTGATCCGTTGTTGAAAGGACTCTTGTTTCGCCTCCAAGATCTCCATGTCTTGCTTGGCCGCGATGAGGCTCTCGTCAGAGATGCGACAGCTCTCCTTCCATTCCTAAAGGCATTCATGGAGCTGCTGAATTTCGTCGTCCTTTTCTGTGAGCTTCGCCTCAAAGATTTCTCGTAATTCTTTTAGATACTTGATCTCGATCTCGGACTCCAGCTTGTAGTCGTTTAGGCCCTCAATCTCTTGCTGCTGACTCTTACACTGCTCTCTCAAAGTTGCCGTCTCGGCGAGAGCATCGGTAACACCTGCTGACAAAACATCGAGGGTAATCTTTCGCGTCATGTTTGTGTTTTCTGTGTCCAAAGATCGTGAGGTAACGTAGGAAAGGTAATGAAGGATAGCGCGGGTGCCCTGGTGAAGTCAGCCACTTGAAGTGAAAGGATATTTGGATAGGGACGGCACCGACGTGTTTGACGCGACAGGATGCGATTTCGAGAAGAGTAATTAACAAAGGTTTGTGTTTTGAGGGCCATCTCTGTTGTGTTGAAGGGGTAAGTGCAGCTGGCAGGCAGTGCCAGGCCAAGTGCCACTTCACTGGCAACTGTGAATCATTGGCGAGGCCGAGTAGACCCGGCGCGGTCGGCCTTTGATTGATAAAATCACAGTGGATTTCATGGATTTATTTGGTCTTCTCTGTTGTTATCGATATGGATGCTCTTAAGGTGAGCCATGGCAATCAACGCCTAGCAAATGCAATGAGCCACAAACTCCCATTCTTGCCCAGGTATAAAGAGAAGCAATAGACCCGGCTTAAATGATTCGTCGCCTCTGCAGAATATCTAATTTCTTATATATGCCATAGTCCTTTCTCTTATATAGATACCCCTCACCCCTTGACAATGCTTTGTGCCCCTCGCAATCATCTCTTCATCTTGGAGGTGTCCAGGAACTTATCGTTGATGATACAACCATCTCACATTCTCTCACGAGGCAAGGCAGGTTGGGAGAAATACACCAACAGCGTCATGTTCGAAAACAGCCAAAGCGCGCATACTTCACCGACAGCAACGAGTTGTCCGACAGACCAGGCTCTTCCTCAAAACACGAGCGATGTTTTGATCCGAGACGATCGGTTCCGACTTCTTCCAGTGGGGGAAGGGGATGGTCGAAGTAGATACTCAGGAGCAAGATCTCCCTATCACGTACATGACGAAGTCTGTATAGGAGGCCAACATCAAGACACAGACATTCCAAGAAGTGGCCAGGGAGGCCTTGCACAAGGTTTCCAGTTATCGCTCACTGGTGGCCTTTGAGGGAATGCTCATGAACAAAACGCTTTACACTTACCAGCTCTTGCTCAAGTCAAGATGCCCTCGACTCTTATATATCACCTACCTCAAGTTCCTTGCCTAAGAACAAATCTTGGATACCCAGTCCACATCCCGTGGCCTGTAACCTGGCGTACTGAGCCAGGCTAGGCCGTCGTTCGGCACATGGGTTCTCGTTGCTCCTCTGGGCTACGATGCATTCGCCCTGGGTTGTATAATGCCTTGCGGAAAGCAGCAGCGCCTTCCCGCTAGGCCAGCCATTGTTCTTGAAGTGAAGATGGCTTCCAACTCTGAGGTTTTGCTTCAACAAAAGTAGCGAGCCTGCATGCAAGCGATACCAGCCAACACTGAGCCGACGAAACGACAGATACAGCATCAAGATGATTATGAGCCACCAAACCGTGTTGCTCTTCAGATTCCCGATGTAAATTTTCTGATCTCTTTTTAATTCAATAACAAGGGACTCAAAGCAAATGTCTCCTCGGCCGTTCAAAGCTATATATACGCGATAAGAAGGAGTCAGACGTCTGGGCTGATCAGGCGCGGCGTTTTCAGGGGATGGCAGACATATCCAGGGCATTATACGCTGCTTCAACCCCAGCGTGTAAACCGGTGGACTTCTCAGACCAACAACCTCTGGGATCACTGTACAGGGACTAAGTGGGCGTCTCTTCCTTTTGTTATCGCAATGAGCAACAGTGGACCTACGAAACTATTCCCCCTCTTGAAGAACATCTTTATATATATTCTTCTCGTCGCCTTGGACATTTCTCGATTTTTCTGAGTATTGTGACATCCACGACCATAAGACCTGGCTCTCGCAGTTTGCTCTAGTCGGGAAGGCAACATCAACCAGCTTCTCGTCGGGGCGACGTAAGAGGTCGATAAAAGGACGAAATTCACGCAGGGATCTACCTGATGATAATGACTATGGGCACATTATGGTTCCAAAGGAGTCAGACGAAGAAACTACGGCCCCATCTCACAAGCAATATTGCAAATCCTGAGAAGATCCCGCCGGGGTCGTACGCAATAATGCCAGCTATTCACAAAACTCCTATCAACGATTCAATCGTTCGCCGGCGCAGAAAGCCGAGAAGTTCAGAGGTCCAGACACGCACGAAGCTTTTGGATCCGACATGGCGATCGAAGTGAACGCATGATCACACCAACGAAGAACCGATCTCCTACACTTCCGCGCCATACTTCTTTCATCAACCCGCATTCGCGCAATGGAGGAACGATACATTTAGATTACGAGCGTACAGCCTCCCAGAGAAAACAGGTTTCACTTCCTTTTGCTATCTCAATAAGCTATAGTACATCCACAAATCTTCTGCCGCCACTTATATATACCCTCCCTTCTCATCACAGTGGGTTCCTTTCCGATCATCCGCGATACAGTGATATCAACTATGATGAGACCAAACTCCCAGAGCTTCCTGCGCCGAATCTCGAGATAACTTCTCGCCGAGGCGACACAAGATGTCGACTCCGACGATGAAGTCCCCCATGAGATCTACCTGAGGACGAATGCCATGAGCACACTGCCGTCCCAACTCTCCTAGCCGCGGAGTCAGACCTAGAGTAGCTACGCTCTCAGCTCACAGGCGATATATAACGAAAACATATGCGGATCCCGCTACGAGCGGATTTAGAGATGCTAGCTATTGACAAGAGTCCTCTCAGCGAGCATTGTCGTTCGCAGCTATGCTCACCCTTGACTTTCATCCGTCATACCCCCGGCTTATGGTTGGCCTTGTACAGTCGGTTTACCAAGCCTGATTTCGTCATCTGGGCTGATTGCGTCTCACTCGCGCGTTCACTGAGAGCTGATGACGTTCCTGTGACCAACAGCGAGGACAATCTTTTGCCGAAGAAGCACATATAGCTCCTTACTATGTGGCCATATCATCGACTTCCTATATATCAATGCCTGGACAGAGTCATTTCTGCTCCTAGGGAGCCGTCACATGAGCAGCGAAGCCATCGTCAACCTGATGAATCCCGCCATCAACATCAAGTGGAGAGGAAACGAGGGAAAGCGACTTCTACACACTTTGAACTAAGTCGGCATGACGAACATATAGATGCTTATCGACGCTTGGCAATAAATATGAGAATGAGAGTCTCGCATTTCTACTCACTCATTATGGAGATGTCACCTACTTGCCTCTGTGCTCTGAAAAGCAAAAGGTCAAAAATTTGGGCTCTAGACGAGACTCTGGACTACAATTTGACTGAGTGTTCCTGAGAGCAAGCTATTCCAGGCGAACCGCATGCGATGGGAGCTACATGCGACCGATTATAGATGGGCATTGATGCCCTGCAGGATATATAGAAGTGCGCCCAGATCCTACCCGATAGTAGGGAGATGCGGCGCCGACTGCCATGTTCAGCTGTTGACAGTTGCAAGGGATTCCAGAAGACTCTTTCAAAGCGCTCGCTCACCACGATTTAGAGGTGGAAGGGGGGGAGGGGTTGAAGCCAGAGTTCAGTACTCTCGCAACGGGTGTCGTGGATTCTTCTGGGAAGCACATCGACCAGTCCTTGTCAACTGACGAGAGAATGACACTGAACGGAAATCGTCGAGCATTTTCAGGTTTGGGTGTGCTCTGGCAGCCGCGCCGCGCCTTCGAGGCCTTCGGACGAGGCACAAAAGATGGCGGCACCGTAATGGCTTCAACGGTCGACTTGGAGATTACCAACACATCGTGAATATGAGTGGTGCAATTCCCGGAACCTTTACTTTCTGGTGCCAATTAAGAATCGAGAACCTTTCTACAAGCCATGTAGTCGATGTGGTTACATATCACTAGCATCTTACTCCTACTCACTTTACCCAAGTATACCGAGGCTGGTTTAGATACCAATGAGATCTAGATAGTCAATCACCTTACATTAACTCAGATTTTGAAATTAATCATGGGTATCATTTGTTGAATATCTAAGTGAATATTCTGCCTGCCTCGCTTTCATTACCTGTGATCACAGCCCTTCTATGATGGATAAGATTCAGCCAAAATGTGCTTTATAGGGAAGCCATTGGCGATGGCCGCGCCTTGTAGCTGCTTAAGCCAAGGTGCCCCATCACCTTCAGGAACCGGTCGGTGAGAAAGACTACAGTCGACAAATATCGAGTCGTCCAGGTATTGGTAGTCCGATACTTCAATTGCACACTCGGACAATGACCCGGGGAAGGGCGAGGCGCTGAGTGCAGCGCAGGTCCAGGCCATTTGCTGTAGGATCTCAATCATGGTGTGCGTCCAGGCTGAGACGCTGAGCCTGATTGAACCGTCTTCGACTTCGATGTGAAGAAGGCGTAGGCCGGGACATAGAAAAGGGTCGTCGGTGCCGTCCCAGATGGACATGCCCGTGAATGCATGACCGTCGCAGCTGGATATAGATGCTTCCTTGACGGCATCCTCGATGCAGCCAAGTAGGATAAGACCGCACTTGGGCCATTGCTTGGCCGTGTACTCTGATATTGTGGTGTAGACGCAATCGTTTGCCGTTCCAGTGATTGCTGGTAATGAGCCCATCTTTACGAGCTGCGGATCCCCAATGCCATCGAGAGGGCCAAATAGCTGACACTCAAACTTGAACTGAATGACATGGAAGCCATCGCGAGGTGGTCGAAAGGGTCTCTTTAACAGGATGTCCCATACAGCCGACTCCATGAGATGCATCTGCACGTAATGAGGTGAGACGAGGACCTCACGAATCCTCGAGATTAATTGCCTAGCCGACTCTCCTGTGGTGATGTATGTGTGCAGTGAGCGCGCAATCTCATCGGGTGATCCTCTAGGTGAGCGGGCAGGGAATTCTCGATCCCAATAGCTGCATAGGAGTTGCAGGGCGAGAGGAAGATCAATGCCTCGTGCAGTCGTCGACCATGTCGCCGGTCGTCGTGAGATTCCAGGGCCCAACTTTTCCAAGACACAATGCGGCGCCTCAGGGCCGTTGAGGATGAGAATTAGTTGACATATAGGCCCATCGAATAACTTCTTGATCTGATCTCTTGAATCCGGGTTGGAGTCACAGTAGAAAGACCACAGCTCATCCCACAACTCCTTGGTAAACTCGGACAGCAACCGGTCCAACACCCGATCAATGTTGATGCGGACCTTTTGCTCTGGGAGGTAATAGTGAGTGAGAAGGTCGTTGTTCAGGCCATCCGAGAGGGCAGTGGCAAAGGCGGCGACGACTGCGCCTCCGATGAGAGGCGGGACGAGGACCTCGGCATTGTTTGGCGACTGGGCGGTACGAGGACGTCTGCTCGGCAGAGGAGGCTTGATGCTTATAAGGGAGGCATTCGTGATATCGGTAGCTTGGTGCTCATGTGTGGTGGAGGACAGGGGCGGGTTCGGAGGGGGCATGTCTAGTCATTGCGGGTAGAGGTCTAGTATTGGGTGGATGAAACGAAGGGATCGAGACGAGAGGTCTCACAGCGAGATCATGTTGAAAAGTCCATTTTCCAGCCAAGAAGAGATAGAGACTGAAAAGAAAAGGAACTCCTCCCCAAAAGAGTTTATTTGCTTTGAGAGTTAAAAAGTGCGGTCGGGTGTGCGTCGTCAAGCATTGCGTGGCCCGCTGACAAACGGGGTAATTCCATTAGTCGGACTCTCTCTGCTGCAAGAGATGACGCCACCCGAAAGATGAAGGAGAGATTGACTCTGAAAGTACACCAAGAGAGATTGATAATGAAAAGTAGAGTAAACCCTATTGCCTTGTCTTGAAGCTGATGTGGCCTCGTCGACGACACTTTCACTCTGGCTGACGTCCTCACACTCGTGTAAGTGCCTCGCGTCCTTTTTTTTTTGGTGGATAAATGGAGTCGAAGCGTGGGATATGAAGGCCGCGTAATGAGGAACGCCATGGGGCGATAAATCACACCCCGTCTCCTCTTTCTTTCTTTCTTTCCCCCCTCACGAAACGGATCTTTTGCTAGTGAGATGGGGTTCACCCCGGTCTCGATCTTGTTTGGGTCTATCGTGTAAGGTGGTTAAAGAGAAAGACGAGGGTTTTCGTAAAGGAGAGAGTTGAGGAGATGCATGCCAAGATGTGCCCCTGGGACTTGAGATGAAGGGTGACAGAAAGGAATACCAGCTTTGCAGCAGAAGCTTGCGTGGACTTGTGTCCATTATTTTGTCACCTCTGCCAAGGGTGTTCCTTGTTCCAACTCTCTCCAACCTTTGTCCTCAAAGACCACGTAAGTGCAGTCTCAACTGACCAGCCTTGGTGCCTACGAAAGGAGCCGATCGCAATTACCGTCTGTAGTCGCATTAAGCACGACTTTTAAAACCACTAAACCCTTTCTCTCCCATCTCCAACAGAGTACCCTTGAAATGGACATTTTTCGCATTGTGGGTGAAGGAGCCATTCAGAGAGAGTCATGACGGCTTGCACAGCCTCGCCGAAAAGCTTGGGTCTGAAGCTTAACCTCATGCATGAATGGCCTCCATCTTCCCTGCTTTTTTCAACGTTTAATGGGTCCTTTACTCGGCCGAGAGACTGTACAGACATGCAGAGAACTCGTTTATCTTGCATGTTTTAAGAAGCCGTATGTACCTTTGCTCATTAGCACACTGACCGATCCCATCCACCAACATTCACACTTTGGCAACCCCTTTTAAAGAGATGAAATCATTATTGTATTACCACATCGTCCATTTCAATGTCCGTGCCGTGGGTTCTCTATGAGTAAATGAAAGAAGCCAATTAATTAATGCAATAGCCACTCAAAGACATTAGAGCGCCACCATGCCCAACGCCGCCGTAAATCATTGTCATCTTGGTCGTCAACGCTTTTGAACGTGTCGCATTTAAGCAATAGGAGCACAAGCAAATGGGCCCTGCACCTCGCCATTTCTAAATTTCCTTATCTACAGTCAAGTTAGTATGAGTCTGAGATCAAAGGATGGTGATTGCACTTACCACATCGTCGACGCTAGCATATGTGCCGCCAACCAAGATTATGATTCCAATGATAAAGATCATTCCGTTGAGAAGACTCGTGAGAATATTCTCCTTGGAATGCCACGAACCCTTCTTGATCAAAAGGAACCACATCATGGCGGGGAAATAAAAGGTAAATCCCGAAATAAACAGGGAAGAAGAGATTGATAGCAAGTTGTTGAAGAAGGGAATGGCCTCGGCGATGATCCAAGCGAAAAAGGTGATAAAGATGATCATGAGCAGCCAAGTCGCCCAACCCTTTGGCGTATTAATGTATCGAATGATGGAATTCTTAAAAATTCGCCCGTGGAGATATCGGCCAACGACGATCGTGTTGATCGATCCCGAGATGAAGATGACGGGTAGGGCAATGCCAAAGGTGACCTTGCTGACGAGCTCGCCGGCTGAGAGGAGGGCCGGGGACCTTACAGAGGGTCCAACAAAGGCGTAGATGAGACTTCCGGTGAGGGTGTAGATGGTGATTTCGAGGATGCCGAGGGACCAGATTGATTTGACGAAATCCTTTGGCGTGTGCATCTCGTCCATGAAGGAGAATTGGCAGATTGCGAAGCAATACGCAAAGACGATATTGCTGATGGCGATAAATGCTTCGGTAAAGCCAAGATCCTCTTTGGGCCAGGCTGACCATGGCACACTGGAAAGTCCGCCATTGTCTCGAGCCTTGATGCCTGTTGCGATGATGGTGGTTCCAACAGCCGCAATGATGGAAGCAAAGTCGATGTAGCCAAGGATAGCAACCTCGGCGAAGCTAGGCGGAATGGCAACCAGCAAGAGAAGAATAGCGGAGACAAGGCCAAAGACTAGGGAGCAGGCTCCGTCATCTGTAAGTCTGAGGAAGGCGATTGTTCCTGTCAGGCAGTGCGAGCCAACCAGGAAGATGAGCTGAAGAGAAAACATGACGCTAATCAACTCGTAGCCAAAACGGCCGTGTCCGAAGCGTTCCATAAGCAATTGACCCGCATCTGCATAGTGGGAGACGTGGGGAAATGCTAGTTTGACCTGTCCGACAACGTAGGATGTGTAGATGGCAATGAGGCCAATGCCGATACAGAGGATGACGCCGGCGACCATGCCGAGGGTTGCAAAGGCCGCTGGGAGACTCAGGCAACCCAGGGCAACGGCCTCGACGATGAGGACGACGGTCAACCTTTTCCAACCTAGACGGTGGAAGCGGGCGTTTCCTTCTTCTGCCTTTTGCTGCTCGACGTCTGTGAGGCCGGCTGTGGCAAGGGGCCTCGCCGTGTCTTGAGACGTCTGGCGGGATGAAGTATTATTGTATGTCATGTTTAGAAGTGTCTTGATGTTGATTGAATGTGTTGCTGTGGTACAATTGGGTTCTTTGTTAACCCGGCTTCACATTGTCTTATATAGGCACTTTCATTACGAGGCACAGCAAACTACAAGTTGATGACTTGACCTCGCTCTCGGGCTCGGTATACAAGCGGCCGAATCCGGGCAAAGACAAGACCGTGGTCACGAACATTGTCAGGCGGGAATAATACGCGAGTACAAGTCCGCCGTGCCATCGTGAGCGAGGTTCTATTCCTGACGAGGTTCCCATGATGGTGGTCGAGATCTTGTTACAGGGGTTGCAGGAGTACCAAATGGGTGACCTGGCGGGTCGACTTGTCCGTGGGATCAGGCCATGGCCAGACACAGCGGGAGAGGCGCTGCTAAGAAACTCGGCATGTCTCGTGGGGGATTGGTTGGCGTGCCAAGGCCCAGGCTAAGAAGGGTGCTCGAGAAGGCCCGGAGACGACGGCATTCTTGGTGCTCACATGACGGCCTGCTCATGTTGTTTGTAGTCAGAGATTCTCAAAGATTCGATCGAAAATCAAGCTTAAACTGAGATGGATAAAAATATGGATCGAGCTTATGATGTCCTTGCACCGCCCCGCGCCTGCTGATCAAGTCACCCCATTGCCCACGGGTTGTTATGATGCTGTATCTTGCTATCGGGGAGTTTTGTTCTCCGCGGCGCGATAGAGCATGATCGTGAGTCAGTGTATGCGCGTATTCGCCTGAGTTTCATGGATAGAGAGTCTGCCCCGGAGAATTTGTTGTTAAACTTGCTGTTGATTCTGTGTGTTGATGTGATGCAGGGTAAATGGGTCTCGAAGCGAGGTGGAGTTGGGGATATGCGGATGGTTTTTGTTGCATGTGAGGACGGTCAATTAATTAGTAATAATAATGGAGAGAAGCGACCATCTCGTGTCTTTTAGAATAAACATGATCTGGGGACCTTGAAGAGACTGGTGGTTCACATACAAATGAGTGGGCTTTACAATGCTAGATGCATGATTATCACCAAAGATTGACTCAGATTTCACGAGTGGCGACGTTGATTGACTTTGAGCTATCTAGATAATGTTATTGAGAATATTCCAACTATTGAGCATCAATTGGGTCATTCACTGGGTAGGATATGATATTCCTTCGATGAGGGAAATCTGTGGTTCACTTGGTGGTGAGGGAGGCAGCCCATCAGGGAGACGAGGTGTTTTTTGCGCACTTTGCTTGGGCATTGCAGAGAGGGAAACTAGAGAATCCTAATACGATTGATCCAATTGGGCGAGAGAGAGCAGCGATAATACCATCCAGGCTTCTAGGAGAGCGTGTAATAGGTAGGATAACGGTTTCTATGACAGCGGTGAGGGAGAACACCACCCCTTTGGCAACCTCACCATCTCATCACCGTCACAACTCGGACCCAATCTTATTCCCCATCGTAAAAGCACGGTAGTTTCTCGCATCCGTGTCTGAGCTTATTTCGATCTTGTTGGTCGTGCTCTTTCTGACCTGTCCAACCCCCCACAATCCCTCGAATCCCAGTCTCGAAGCGAATTTCTCGCATGGTCCACTCATGCAAAACTACCCGTTGGCTCATGTGGGTCTAGCGACCCAGGCGAGCCAACCTAGCAAGCTAGGTTGGCCACAAAATTGTGAGACAGCCACAAAATTATGAGACAGCCCGGGGCCCCGTTTCCCCCCTTGAGAAGCCGCCTTTTTCGGTCTCTCGGTTTTGGAAGCCGTCCAAAGTGATTTGTGAAGGTGCAAAAGAGCAAGTTGAAGCTATTGGCGATGCCTGATGTGATGATATTGATGATATTGACTGTAGCTATGATAGAAGCCGCCGCCTAAGCCTCCAAGGCCGCCGCCTTCCTGGACGATTCCTCATACAAATTTGGCTGTGAGAGCGTCTTTTCAGCCCTCCGGGCTGGCTTCTTGTGCGGCCCTTGCTTGCGTGATGATGCTCGTGATCCTCTGTATCCCTGATATGTGGTGTTGAGGCCGTATCGGGCACGGCGTGGAGGGAAGTTCAGGTGGCAAAGACGGCAGCCGCGGCGGCGAGGGTGTAACCGGCGGCGATGAGGGCATTCGCAGTGGAGGCTCGAATAGAGGGAGTTCCTCGTCATCTTCTTCTTCCTCTTCCTCTTCTTCTTCCTCGGCAGGAGCCGGGTCCAGCTGGAAAGTGATGCTATCGTCACTTCCTGCGAGAGCGGTCCAGTCCATCGCGCTGAGGGGTTTCGGGGCAAAACTGGCGTTGTGAATAGCTTCGTGAACTTCCTGCGGCAGTTGGGTATCTATCATGAAAGGGTTAGGCTTCTGGGTAAGCATCTGATGCATAGTCGAGCGTTGTGTCTCCATAGAATAATACTCAATGTCCTTCCCTGTGTGCTCCAACCACTGAGCCCACGATGCCTTCTTCTTTACGCCGTCGACGGTGATCTCTTTCTCTTGCCGCCATTGGTCCTTGATCTTCTTCATCTCCTGTATGACGAAGCTGCGAGCGGTCCGGAGCTGTGCCTTCTCCTCCTTCTGCCGGGCTTCGGCGATAACCTCCTCCTGCTGGTCTCGAATCTCCTGTAGACTGACGTTATGACTAGAGTCTCCTATCGGCTTCGCTCTCTTCCCTCTCTTCTTGGCGTTGTATCTCTTCTCAATCCGAGCCCGGCGGTCATGGACATAAGCAGTGACTGTAGATTCAAGAACCACAGCTTCCGTGACGACATTACGTATCTGACGAAGTCCGGCACGCGTGGGGGAGCTGAAGGTATCGCCGTAGCGGTCTGAGAGTCGTTTGGCGGTATCTGCGGCGGCCTGGAAGCGAGATTCCTGAGGAAGGAGGGAGGCGAAGGCCGGGTCCACAGCCTGCTTCGCCTGAAGCTGCTTCTTGGCTAGGTATGCTATCGCCGGCTCGGGATTTGGTGGATAGATGCCTGACTTCTCGAAGCCTGAGATGATGTTGTGTGCCGTGAACCCTTCCTCGAAGACTTCCTGCTTCAACTCAGTGACTCTATTGACATAGAAGAAGAGGTGTAACTTGCCTGAAAGCCGCGGACAAAGTCAGCCCGGGAGAAGGAGATATTTCCCTTTCGAAGCCACCTGCCGAGAAGCTTCTGGTGGGCGTTCTTCAGCGGCTGAAAGACTCCAACATCCATCGGCTGTAGTACATGCGTAGAGTGAGGCGGCAAGGGAGCTGTGATGATGTAGAACTTCGCACAATACTCTCTAACGGCGAAGACTCCATGTCCCGTGAAGCCGTCAAAGACGATGAGTCTCCAGATAGTTGTGTCAGGGGCCTGAGAGACGGGAGGAACGTCATATTGAATATACTTTCGCAAAGGATCTCTAAGGAACTCGTCACACCCAAACCACTCTTCAAATGTCTGTCCCGTACGCTGTGCCTTAGCGGACTTAGCCCAGGAACTCCGGTTGAAGTGTATCATCCACTCAAGAGTAATCTCGCCGTTGGAGAAGGCCGTGTCGGACTGGGCGAAGCGGATATCAGGATCGGCATCTATATACGCCCAATCTAGTGTAGGCCATGTCTTAAAGATGAGCCACGGCGGCATCGTATCACCCGCCGCGCTGCCTGTACCGATGAGGGTACAGGTCTCCCGGTTGGAAGGGGAGAGAACCTGCTTCCTTGTCCTTCGCCTTGTCCGTACGACGAGGACTTTGACGCTTTCCCTGAGGATCCCAATCCTAATACCAGCCTGGTCAGTATTCCAGCACTCAGAGGCGCCGATATCATGACTCCGGACGGTCTCAGCAAGGTTCTTGAACCATTGTTTGAGGTCATCGAGACCGCCGGCTTCCCAGGACTCACGAGACTGTTCTGCGGCTTTGAGGAATGCCTGCTCAAGCTCAGGATGATCGTCACGGAAGCGAGCATACCACATCTTGCTAACGGGATCGGCATCAGGGTTCCTGCGCTGACGGAGGGTTGTCGCGGCATCTTCTAACTCAGGCTTGGAGGCAGGGAATCCGGACCTCTCCATCCAGATGACGAAGGCCACGATAGCTTCATCTTCTTCGTCTGTGAGGACCCGCGGTCTGCCGACTTGCTGAGGCGTAAATCCGGTCTCCATCCTCGTCACGATCCTCTGGATAGAAGCAACAGAGGACCCGGGGTGGCGTGCGTTGGCGGCACGAAGTGAGAGAGGTTGAGTTGTGCCGGAGGAAGAGGTTCGGTGGAGGCCCCGGGCATGCCGGGCACGTGATGCCACGACTTCCCGGGCGGCCCTGAGATTCGCCTCACTCGGCATAATGAAGATGGACAAAAGAGAGGTAATTTCTACCGGTTTATGTCGTGAAATATGGCCAAAATAGGTGGTAATTGCATGGAAATGAGGACATCATCAAGTGAGGGGCTGTCTCATAATTTTGTGGCTGTCTCACAATTTTGTGGCCAACCTAGCTTGCTAGGTTGGCTCGCCTGGGTCGCTAGACCCACATGAGCCAACGGGTACGTCAGTATTTTGTTTGACAAGCACAACCGAAGCACACCTCCTTCGGCGGGTTTCCGTATCAGAGCTTACCGGCCAATCTAGCTGCATCAAGGATACCGAAATGGACCCCTCAAAAATAATGTCTCAGCACAGCCTCCCCCCCTTCATCGACGGCTGGGATCTAAGGTTAGACAGGAACATGGCTTGGCGGTCACTAGGCTTGTCTCGCCAAGAGCTTATCTGTGAGTAGAGATACTTGGCGCCTTGATATAAAGAACCTCTTTCCCTTGACAACCTCCAACCTGCGAGAAAAATCCACTGTTATGAGCGATTTATTTCTCTCTCGTCAAGCTCAGCGCCCGCTTGCTTTACGAGACAAGTCATTTATGAGCGGTAAATGAAATCGGATATTGCATTTGGAGGCGCAGCTTGTCCTTGTTTTTCTTGCCCTAATAGGGGTTGGCTCTGTTGTTTGTGCTGTCGTGAGAGTGAAGGCGGTGATGATCAACGGCGGCCTCCTGATGCCTCTTTTCTCACACGAGGCATGAGGAAATTTCCCCTCTTCTCGTGAGGGCTGTGCAGAGAAGAGGGGATGGACGAGTTGGGAATAGTTACTCTAGTGAATAAATGTGTATAAAGAGGTCCTTGAGTGTGTTGCTCTGCTGGAATCCTCACTCAGCTTCTCCTACTCTTGCCCTCTGCTCCCTCTTACTCTCTACTCTACACTACTCTGTTCTTTCATCATGGCCGATCCTGACATCAAGCATCCTCACCCGGAGCGCATCCACTGGGTTGACGATGAAGAAACGGCTACCAAGGCCAGACCGCCCGTGAATCGTGGCCTCTCGACTGAATCCATGGGTATCCGCTCCATCAGGTCCAGACGCGGTTCGGTTGATGCCTCTGCTGTGCTGCCCATTCAATATCGCGCAGTGTAAGAGGCACTCGATTAGATCGTGAAGTGTGTTTGCTGAGATGTTTCAAGGTCGATGGACATTGAAGACTATAACCAAAAGACTAGTCTTGCCAAGACAAAGAATGAAGCTGCAGCAGGTACGAAATCCTAATATGGCCGTGTATCGTGACATTGTTGTCTAACTTGCTGCTCCCAGATCTCGCCAAGCTCGAATGGCACACCAACAACGTTGACGAAGTCATCAGACGCCTCGGTTCCTCCCTCATCGAAGGTCTCTCCCCAGATCAAGTCGAACGACGCGTCGGTCGCTATGGAAAGAACGCCCCTTCTCCTGCCCCGACGCACAATACCAAGAAGATTGTCGGTTACTTCTTCAAGGGGTTCGGTACAGTCCTCTTTGTGGCGGCCGTTCTGGTATTTATCGCGTGGCGACCCCTGGGAAAGCCCCCGGCGCCTGCGAACCTTGCCCTAGCCATCGTCCTGCTTGCTGTGTTCTTCATTCAGGCTGCGTTTAATATGTGGCAGGACTGGTCTTCCTCGCGTGTCATGAACTCTATCAAGAACTTGCTCCCTGAACACTGCCTGGTAATACGCGACAGACAGCAGGTCACCCTTTTTGCGGATCAGCTTGTCCCTGGAGATATCCTCTTGATCAAGGCTGGCAACAAGCTCCCTGCCGATGTCCGCTTTGTCAAGGTCTCTTCCGATCTCAAGATCGATCGGTCCATTCTCACAGGTACGCGACCCCTATAACCCCTACGCAACACATTTGCTAACACCTCACAGGCGAATCTGTCCCCATCCACGGCACTGTAAACTCTACAGACGAAAACTACCTCGAGACCAAGAACATTGGACTTCAAGGCACACATTGCATCTCGGGAACATGTACCGGTCTCGTCGTCGCGACCGGAGACAACACTGTATTTGGCAGGATCGCACAGCTCACGAACGAGCCAAAGAAGGGCTTGACCACCCTTGAGCGTGAGGTCCTCCACTTTGTATTGGTCATCTGCTCCATCATGGCTCTCATGATTATCCTCGTCATTGTCCTTTGGTATGTGCACTTGGATGATATGCTTCTTGACATTGCTGACCACTGTCTAGGGCAACATGGCTACGCAAGAAGTATCCTGACTGGATCAGCGTCCCTAACCTCATCATTTCGTGTGTGTCTGTGGCTGTGGCCTTTATCCCTGAAGGCCTTCCTGTTGCTCTCACGGCTAGCATGACCATCAGTGCCAACATGATGCGCAAGAACAAGATTCTTTGCAAGTCACTCAAGACGGTGGAAACACTCGGCTCAGTCTCTGTCATTTGCTCTGACAAGACGGGTACATTGACACAGGTTCGTTCACAATTGATCCGATCAAGGTAGAACAATCACTGATGTATTATAGAACAAAATGATTGTTACAGAGTGCGCCATCGGCGACAAGCGCATGCTAGCAGACCAGGCAAGAGACGTCATGGTCCTCAACCAGCACACCAGCCCCAAGAACAACTCTCTCAGCCAGCTCCGCGCCGTTGCCGGACTGTGCAACGCAGGTTCCTTTGACGCGGCCACCATGAGACTCCCTCTTCACGAGCGTGTCATCCACGGTGACGCCACCGACCAAGCCATCCTCCGATTCTCAGAGGGCCTTGGAGAAGTGGCTGAGCTTCGACGGTGTTGGAAGGTCAAGTATGAACTTGCGTTCAACAGCAAGAACAAGTACATGATCAAGGCGTTCTGTTTGACACATCCTGATGGTCTTTCGCTTGCGTTGCCATCGGACATTGGGTCGATCTTTGCGCCAGGCGATGTGTAAGTGATATCCACAGTTACTCGAGATACAGTGCTGATACAAGCAGGCTATTGACGATCAAGGGCGCACCGGAGATCCTTCTGGAACGTGTTAGCTCATACGTCAACCCCTCGGGCGTTTGTGTTCACCTGGACGATGCTAAGCGCAAGAGCATTGAGATGATCAAAGATGACTGGGCGTCTCAGGGAAGACGAGTGCTATTGCTGGCTCGCAAGTCCATCTCAAGCTCGGTCTTTCCACCAAGCATGTCGGAAACTGCTCTCGAGTCGGAGATGTACAACCAGGCGCTGACTGGGTTGACTCTTGTTGGTCTGGTCGGTATCGTTGACCCTCCTCGCCCCGAGATCCCGGATGTGGTTGACACGCTTCGCACTGCGGGCATTCGAATCTTCATGGCAAGTCGTTCACATCTAATAGAAGCTATCTCAGCTAACAAGAGACAGGTCACAGGTGATTTTGCCTTGACTGCTCGGGCTATCGCTGAAGAGTGTGGTATCATCACCAGCCAAAACGTAGACACCGTTGAGGCTCTGCATCGTACAGTGACCATCGACCCATCTCTCCGCGCTCTGGAGCTCAACTATGGCGCTGATGGACCTCGAGAGGCCATTGTCCTTAGTGGCCCTGAGCTTATCACCCTTAACGAGGGTCAGTGGGATCAGTTGGCCGAGTACCGCGAGATTGTATTTGCTCGAACGACACCAGAGCATAAACTCCGCATCGTGCGCGAGTTTCAAGCTCGGAACCAGATCGTTGGCATGACAGGTGACGGTGTGAATGATGCTCCGTCCCTGCGTGCCGCTGATGTTGGTATCGCCTTGGGTTCAGGCAGTGACATTGCAATTGAGGCGGCCGACATGGTGCTATTGGATACATTCGCGAGCGTTGTTGAAGCGTTGCGATATGGCCGAATGATGTTTGACAACCTCAAGAAGACTGTGGCGTATCTGCTGCCCGCAGGTAGCTTCAGCGAGTTCTGGCCAGTCATGACCAACGTCGCCTTTGGCATTCCTCAGATCCTGAGCAGCTTCCTCATGATTATCATCTGGTGAGTCCAACGTTGGCCATGGACTACATGAGCTAACACGTCCAGTCTCTTCACCGACGCGATGGCTGCCATCGCCCTCGCTTATGAGGCTCCGGAGGCCGACGTGCTCCTGCGGAAACCGAGGGTACCGGGCAAGAACCGCCTAGTTGATTGGCAGCTCATCCTGCAGGCGTACGGGCTCGTCGGCTTCATCGAGACGGCGGCGTCGTTTGCCATGTCGTACTGGTACTTGCAGCGCAAGGGAATTCCCTTTTCGGACATTTGGTTCTCGTTCGGAAAGCTGCCTGACACGATCGATCCCGATTACTACCAGGCGAGGCTGAACGAGGCGAGCTCCATCTACTTTGTGAACCTGGTCGTCATGTAAGTTGCACCGCCGAGATCGGGGCTGCCTAGACTGGGCGCAATTGGAGCCACCAACATTTTCTGACACATTGCAGGCAATGGTTCAATCTTTTGGCCGTGCGGACCCGGCGTCTATCCATCTTCCAGCATCCTCCCCTGTTCAACAAGAACACCCAGAACTGGTATCTGTTCCCGGCCATGTTGTTTGCTCTCGTCATGGCCTTCTTTTGGCTGTACCCGAAGGAGTTCCAAAACGTCTTGGATACGGCCGAGGTGCCTGTTGAACATTGGTTCCTGCCCATGGCGTTTGGTATAGGTCTCATTCTAATTGATGAAGCGAGGAAGTATTGCGTGAGAACCTACCCAAAGGGCTTATTGGCTCGGATGGCTTGGTAGGTCGGCTATTAGTGGACGATGGGAGTGTATTCGGTCGATAGGCTTCGATATGCCTCGGAATAACAGTACATTAAACAAATTGACGATGTCGTTGCCTTGTCCTCCATGATACATGATTCTGTGCGTAACATGATGTCGATGAGAACATGATGCCGGGACAAACGTTAAACCCCTCCTCCTGCGGCGTTGATTCCCCTGAGGCGCATTGGCGTTTACACTGATATACGATCGGAAGCGAAAGGGGCGTCATCGAGATCGTCACGGAAACGGCGGTGGAACTTTGTAGATAGAAAAGAGTCACAAAAAGGCGAGAGGCGAAAGGATGAGACGTCGGTGGGTGTTCACGAAGTTGAATCGGCGCATCATGTTGGTCGCACGGGGCACGGCGAGCGAGATGGCGAGTAGACACTAAAACTAACTCGTACTATTCTAGGAAGAGGTCGGGGGCGAATGGATCGCAGTTTGAGCAAGTTCGAGACCCTACATGGTTTGAGGCACAGAAACCTCGTCAGTTCCGCTGCCCAATGTTTTGACACATACCGTTCTTGGCCAGCTGGCCATGTTTTGCTGTCGAGTCCTGGTTTGACGCTTATTCCCCTTGTCGCTGGCGTGGCTGGTTATTTGCTGTTTCTGGACCATCGGAATCCGTGCTTGAAAGTCGGTGTCGAAAAAAGGTGAGCTGAGCTTTGATTTCCTGACCTTGGAATCCTGGAAGAAATGCTGTCATGGGGGGTCGTATCACGTGGGACCTGTTCATGGGTTGAAAGGAGTCATTGTGTCTGGGCGTTCTCTGCGACGGACGTGGACGGAATTTGTGAGAATGCAACGGAAATGGCCATGGCCTGCGTTAAATGAAGGCGTCCTCATGATCAATGGTTTAACAAATCACCCATTTTCGGCGTCTAATCGCTTGTTCTTAGCTGCCGTCGGCGCTCGCCTGCCGGTGCCGGACGTGGTTTGAAGGTGGCATGCTCCTGCCTGGAGCCAGGATCGATAAGGGATCCATCCGAGGTCTCCACCTGAGGTCGCCTGTTCCCGGCCCCACTATCGGATGTTGGCTTTGGTGATGTAAGACAAGGGGAACAAAGATGATGAAGATGATAGCAAGAAGCTACACGATGTTATTCCGATGGAAAGAGAAGATGAAATTGAGGTTCCATTGTGAGGTTGGAAATGAGAGTATGGTAGTATGGACTAGTGATGCCAGAGGTGAGGGGTTGGCCGGAGGCCCAGAGATGCAGAACCGCCCTTTTTATGTGGGAATTGCCTCCTTGCATCTGGCCCAGCAATGGCAACAGGCATGAAACCAGGTACAGAAAACAGCATCAGATGTGCTCAGGTACAAGGAGCACCGTCACGAGGGACATGGCACGCGGGGGTCAGTCATGGGGAGACGCACGTATCGGACGCCATCACGGCAGTCAACCTGGAACGAACAGCATGATGCTGGTACGATGAGCAAAGTCGACGACGATCGAAGCAAAGTCTCGGGCAAGGGTGTCAGAGTCGGCTGTCAAGCTACGAAAGCTTAGGACCGAATTGACACCCATCTCGATACCACGGTTGCAGAAGGCGTTTCGGCAGAGCGAACCAGACGAGATGCTGTCGACTCGGCGCATATCAGCTCGAGCTAGGAGCATCTTTGCCGACCAATCGCCCGACCAAATTCCCCTCAATTCCATCACAAGGTTTCACGCGGCGCCGAGCGAGGCATGATTGTCTTGAAGCTGTCCTTGTCTGGCCTCGGCGTGGGACATGCCATCAGGTGAGCTGCGCCAGAGAACGCCAAAGCACGCACCCGCAGGCCGAAGGCTCCGGGGGACACGAGGGAGAGGGGCGCAAACTGGCGATCGCTCGTCATAGGCCGTACTTGGACGTGCCAATGTTGGCAGGCTTGTCGCTTGCTCGAATCGGCCACACCACCAGAGACTGAGGTAACCCCTCTCAGATCTGCATTCAGTCATTGAATTGAGCGTTTTCTTTCTCTGAAGCTCACCCGTTTTCCCATGTTGACCGCTTGCAATTCAGACCACATCGCGGGCTTCCGAGGCCGTCGATTGCATCACTTGATTGCCGGGCTCCTCCACAGTCCACACACGCCACCAAAACCCACAGCATCCGATCCCGGTGGGTCTGCGACAAGCTTTCCCCGGATTTACGCCCCCCACGCTAGCCTGAGATGGGCAGCAAGCGGGTACCAGACCGGTACGCAGAGCGGGTTCGGCTTGCACGGTGCGTTTTGCGTCACGCCAACGCTAGTCCAATTGCGGCCCCAGGTCTGGTCTGCTGAGCGCCGGAGTCAGGGGCGTCACGCCTTCCGTCAGGCCAAAGTCACGCGATCGTCCTCTTGAGCTCTCCCGCCCGCCGCCTGCAATCAATGCCTGCGACCGAACATGGCAGGGGTGGATGCGAGATATCCACAATCCAATGGATCCAATGCGTGAGAGGTGAGATCACTGATCAGGGTCGGAGGGCGGCGCAGGCGCAGGGCAACCGCGCAAGCTTCCCAGCACCTTCCCCTAGGTTGCGCCTTCCGGGTGTGGGCAGTTACCCCGCCCAGTCTGACGACAGCTCACTGGTAGCAATGAGTAAAGGCCATGGATTGATGACTGAGGATCCAAGGATGAAAGCGTGATTCGGAGATAGACGACGCCGGACGGCAGGTGCGCCTACGCCTGTGGTTGCAATGAATAACAACCCCCTTCCCCCTCGCTTTGTCCTTCCATCCCTCTCTCTCTCCTCATCACACCTTCAGATCCCAAACAACAAATCAACCTCATTCTTCACCTGCCATCACCTGCTTTTGACGTAAAGGTTCGTCGGCATTGTCCTTTTTTATTCTCGGTCCTTCCTCTTGAGGACATCATCTCCTAGAAATCTCCTGTTCCATCGTCAACCCAAGCATCTCGCTAACACGTCTACCCCTCACTACAGCAGGCCAAGCTATCAAGTCGATCTCACAGATCAATCATATACACAACCAACAACCATCATGTCGGAACCACTCAGCAAGGTCGATTCCGCCGTCCAAGGCTTGTCAAGCTCACCAAAGGAGGAGCACCCAGTCAAGAAGGCTGGCCGACGACAAAGCTCCATCTCACCTGATGTGATGAACATCGCCGACCTCGGTAAGCTTCAGAAGCCTTCGATACCCCTCGCATAGCTCCGAACGATGTCGGCCATGATGTCAATAGCTCTCATACTAACATTGTTTACTCCAGAGGCTCAAGGCATTGAGCTCGAGCTTGCTCCCGAGACCCAGAAGACTGGATGGTACGTGCATCTCATGATACCCCGCACTTTCATCTTGACCTTGAGATGGCATTGTCATGAATCGTTACTGACTTGTTCACTTATAGGAAGATCAACACAAGTCCCAACACTGTTGAGGACCCCGCACTCCTCAAGCTGCCTCTATCAAAACCTCTCATCCGGAAGATCGACCTCCACTTCCCCCTAGGGAAGGAAGTAACAGCCCGAAACCTAAAGGGTGTAACAATCAAGGATGCCCTTGATGCCATCCACAAGGCATACAAGAAGAGAGTAAGTCTTGATGCATAGCCACTTGGGCAAGTCTGGTGCTGACAATATCCCTCCAGTCTGATGATGAACTCGACCAACCCTACCTCGCTGGCTTCGAGTGGGACAAGGAAGAGTCATGGACCCGACTTGTTGTGCATCTCCAGGCCCAGCCCTCAAGCACAGGCGGCGGCCACTCTGGCGGCAAGAAGAAGAAGAACAAGAAGAACGAGGAATAAGTGACTCGACGCCACCCTGATATCTGTTCCAATAGTTCCCTTCATTCTTGTTCGTTTCGCTGGTTTCGTTGCGAGTCGGCGCTCGGGATATTGCGATTAGATATTCTGGCCGGGTCATAATCTGTGCGACGCTGGGAGCGTCGCCTGGTGTACTCCACTACCGTTCTGTTCATCGCTGGTCGATAGATCGGCGCTGCAAGGTTCCATGACGACATGAGCCTTTTACCTAATTGAGAATTCCTCTCGGCATGTTTGTGTCTGCTGCTTCGTGAATGTGAATGTGAATGCCAATGTGAATGCGATTGTGAAAGTTGGGTGTGGAAGTTGAAATTAGCATGCTTGTGTCCACGCCAGAACCCTGCCAGAGTTCGGTTCATTTGGGCCCCACCAACGCTTGTGGTTGTCAACTCAACGCCAATTGTCTTTATCTTATCATGACGATGGCTAACATGGTGGATGGATACCCTGGAGTTGGAGGAGCGGCATAGAGTGATCAACTTTGATTCCGATTCCGCGAACCCCGCGATTCCGCCGTCTGGGGAAACAATCCACACAAGTCCCGTCGTTGCATTGGATTGTTCCGACGGCATGCGACGGAAGAGAGGGGACATGGAGTTCTATCAGAAGCTGTACCGAAATGGCAGGCCATCTGTTAGTACCGTTAGCGGAATCGAGGCGCGCTGCCCCACGGCTAACATCGGGCCGGCCTTGGTCATCCTTTGAAGCTGCAACGCGGAACTGCCGTTGGACGGCTTACACGGCGGCTGGACGTCATGCTCAAAGAAGCTCAAAGCCGTGGTCGCGCAGTTAAAAAGATGGTGTGTGGACGTTCCGGGAGCTGATCCCCTGAGCTCGCCATCACACAGAGTCGACGAACAGATTAAGCTCTACCACAATGCCCGTCACAAACTTTGAGACGAAGGAGAAGTACAGGTATCAGAATGGCTTCAATTGCTACCTAGAGTGAGTATCACATACTGTTTTCTGGCATTGACGCGCTGACTTGTTGGGTAGATCGGAAGCTGTTGAGGGCGCCCTCCCGGTTGGACACAATTCACCTCAGAAGGTGCCGTACGGACTCTACGCCGAGAAGCTATCCGGAACTGCCTTTACGGCGCCGAGAAACGAGAACAAGCAAACATGGCTGTATCGTGTTTTGCCGTCCTGCTCGCACCCTCCGTACGAATATGATACCGAGACGGAGAATGGTTCCAACAAGACCTTGGACGGCGCCGAGGGCAAGCTTCACTACATCCCGAATCAGCTGCGCTGGGATCCCTTCGATCATGACAAGGCTAAGCATCTGGACTTTACCACTGGTCTTAGGTTGGTCGCCGGAGCTGGAGACCCTACCCTGAAGGAGGGACTCGGCATGTACATCTATGCTGCGGGCAAGAGTATGGATGAGAAGACTGCCTTTTACTCGGCTGATGGTGATCTGCTCATCGTCGCGCAAGAGGGAGTTTTGGATATCCGAACCGAGTTTGGATGGCTCCTCGTTCGACCTATGGAGATTGCTGTTATTCCTCGAGGCGTCAAGTATCAGGTTCATCTACCATCTGGCCCTGCTCGTGGTTACGCTCTTGAGCTCTACCAGGGTCATTTCAACCTCCCCGAGCTTGGTCCCATCGGTTCCAATGGCCTCGCCAATGCTCGAGACTTCCAATCGCCCGTTGCTTGCTTCAGTGAGGACTTTGGAGCCACTGCTTCTGAGGGCCCCAACTCATACACCGTTGTGGTCAAGTTCAACAACACACTCTTCAAGACTGTGCAGGCTCATACACCATTCGATGTTGTCGCCTGGCATGGAAACTACTACCCCTTCAAGTACGACCTCGGCCGCTTCAACACCATCGGCACCATCTCGTTCGACCACCCCGATCCCTCCATCTTCACCGTCCTCACAGCGCCGACCAACACACCCGGAACGGCCGTGGCCGACTTTGTCATCTTCCCCCCTCGATGGCTCGTGGGCGAAGACACCTTCCGCCCTCCCTGGTATCACCGCAACACCATGAGCGAGTTCATGGGCCTAATCTGCGGTGGTTACGACGCCAAGCGCGGAGGCTCGGGGGGTTTCGTACCCGGCGGCGCGAGTCTGCACAACGTCATGAGCGGGCACGGGCCGGACGCGGAGAGCGGTGAGGCGGCCCGCAACGCCGAGTTGAAGCCGGCCAAGGTCGGCGGGGGGAGCTGCGCTTTCATGTTTGAGAGTTGTCTGATGGTGGGTGTGACCGAGTGGGGTCTGAAGACGTGTCAGAAGGTGCAGTCGGAATACAATGATCACAGCTGGGGAGGTGTCAAGACGCATTGGAAGTTGCCGGAGGGGTTGAAGGTGAAGCCGCATACTTTGTAGGGACTGAAAATTGGTGTGGTATGAGTGATACCTTGGTACATAGCCTGGATTTTGAATGTTAGTATGGATGAATGAAGCTTGCTGTTTGCTGAATATCGTTTTTATTCGCTTTGTGATTCTTGGTCTATGTCGTCTCTTATGCGCTTCATTGCCCACCAGTTCTCATGAATAGGTTGGATGGTAAATCACGATCCTTGAATTCAGGATCAACGTGATACACCATCTCGTCTCCCTCCGGCTGGAATCCCATCTTGATATATGCCTTGCGCCCCATGCTCGATGCCTCGGTAATGGCCTCCAATCCACCCCGTCGCTTGGCCTCATCAAGGCCCCATTGCACCAACCGCTGAGCAATGCCCTTTCTCTGATGAGCTGGGTCGACGACGCAGAGGTCAAAAACCATGACTGCAGGCGGAGATGCAGTGGCCTTTTCCTTGATGACCTCAATGCGGCGTCCATGTAGCGAGCTGTCCAACTGGACAAGGTAGCGCTGCTCAGCTTTGTTTCCCGGGTAAAGAGTATCCAGATCCATAACCTTGCTAAAGTCCTCAGGCTGAGGATCGCCATAGCCTTCAACAACTGAGCACTGCTGCCAAATAGCGAAACCAGCAATAACACGGCGACCGTCAGCGTCGGCGACAGTGGCCTTGAGAAAAACAGTGTTGAGATCTCCGTCGCGGTTTCGCGTGACCGAAGACCAGCGGTCAACGAGGCGTTTAATACCAGCAGCTTCGCCCTCGGGCGTATCCCACCCTGGGTTCATGGCGATCCAGATGCCATCGCGAGTCTGACGGCCAAAGGCTGCGGCGATGCAGGCAAAGGCTTCGGTAAAGTCCTCGGGGTTTGTGACGGGTTCGACTTGGATATCTGCCATGATTGAAGAAGTTGTAGATTTTAAAAGAGGGATTTGAAGTTCGTGAACTGGCTTTCTTGGCTATTATACTGGTTCCACTTTGTGTGGGTGGGTTATCCATTCTCGTTCGGTGTGAGTAATAAGCAGGAATCGACTTTACCGAAGATGGAGACGAAACCAGCTTCTGATGCTCCATTGTTTGCTATGGAATAACTAGGCCTAAGCGAGATATCGAGCTAATTAATAGGACTGGATTAACGTATATTTATGCTGGTCACGATAGTCAAAGCCGTTGGTTCATGTGTGAGAACCTACAAATGACCGACCATCCAGAGTTCTGCACCTGGAAGAACGAATCTGACCTCTCTATTGGTGGTTTGACTATTGCTGGAAGCTTGTTTAATGATCGGTCATGCACTGGCGATTGCGATTGGGGTTGGGCGCAAATGCTGCTGCCTCTGGTTGGCAGGCTTGAATGATAGAGTGCCCAACTTTCTGAGAGTTCCAAGTTTTCCAACAGCCAATCCAAGTCTATCGGCGCTGCTGGCCATTTCACCACGTAACAATTCTGGGAGAGGGTTGAGTTTACATTGAAGTCAACTTCAATGGGTATCGTTTCTCGTCACCAGATAAGATGCCAGGAACAAATTCCACTTCGATCAAGGCTCAGGTATCCCAGCCAATGCAACAGGATCAAAGGTTGGCATGAAAGTTACTTGACGTTCAAGTGCAGATATGGCAAATTCAATATCTAAATTAAAGCGAATTTAATTCGCAATGAAGCTTAGGGTCGCCTTGAGGTAGGATATTAAGACCTTATCTCCTCTTAATTCCATCATTCGGGCTCGGAAGGGGTTAAATTTGCAGTGAAACGAACGCCACCGGAAAGACCAACCCACTTTTTTCGCGCCAACGGACGCATCGCCCACTTTTCTTCAGCGAATTAACCAGCTAGCCGTGCATGGTTGTTGAGCACCACTTAACAACCCCTTCCTTCTCCTTCTTTGGCTACAATGTGACAGGAGCAACGTCGCCAAAGAAACAGCTCATCATACTAGACGGCGACTATCTGTCGGCCTAGTCTAGATTTATAGCGTTGAATTATGATTCCTCCAGCAGCAGGCTGTCTATGACTGAAGATTCGCCTGCCAATGAACAAGGTGCTCCTCCTTTAATCGACGAAGAAGATCCATTGATACTATACCTAGCCTATGTTCACTATACCTTCTGTGATAGAAAAGCAATATGGATACTGGCCTTCACCGGCCTACGACGGTACTTCACTGCAAACTAAACGCAGCATAGGACTTCCACGTTCAATCCTTGATCGATCGCTGGGTGAGCGATCGATCTCGATGGATTGCACTGCAATTTTAACACGCGCCGAGTCTGAATCTCGGAGTTTGGATGACATAAGGTCTCAAATGCTGACGGTAGGGCTGACGGTTGTTTCACTGCAAGTTTAACCCTCTGGCTTGGTTCTGGAATTTGCCTTCTTTACCCGGTATCACCAAAATGTTGGGTTGATTCCGATAAATGCGGTCTCTTATCTGGAAGTCGAGCAATTATCACTGAGCCTGCGGCATTGACCATGACATGTAAACCAGAATGGGGTACTCAATGATAACTCAGTTAATACCTCTGGATTAATATAGACAAGGTTGACACCACTAGTAAAAGCCGTTGACTTGGATCGTAATTTAAAACAGGGTTATTATGCCGAAGCTAGGGAGTTATCATGGAGTAGCAAAACGTGGGACTGGCAACCTAGGCGGCGACTACGCTCCTACGCTGCAAGCTGAACTCTCTCCAAGATTGCACGATCTGGGAGAGAACCCACCATCGACAATTGGCCAATGGGCGTTTGCTACCCATGAGGCTCTTTTCACTGCAAATTTAACCCCCTCGGGAGCCTGAATGCTGGGGCTCTCGGCTCTAGCGGAATGTGATTCGGTCTTTTTGCTCATCGAAGCATGGGTTCAACGATCGAGTTGCTTCACTGCAAATTTAACCCCTTCCGGGCCCGGATGATGTAGCTCAGAAGACACAAGGTCTCGGAATCCTACCACAAGGCGATCGTGGGCTTCATTTCGAATTAAACCCCCTTTAATTTAGGTCGGGAATTTGCCTTATCTATACTTCCCCGAATGTCAAGTAACTTTTATGCCAAGCTTTGATCCTGCTGTATTGGTTGGGATACCTGAGCTTCGAGGGAATGGCTGCTCAAATGGTAACCATATACCGAAACATATTGCTGATTCTAATAGCCAAAGCCGTTCAAGTTTAGTGTTCGAGAAAATGGCCATGGCTTCTGTGCCTAGTTATGCAAATATGTCCGCAGATGCAACAAGCCTAGAGGGCTTATCAGTGTCCTAGCATTGTAACCTCTCGGGAGCGTTACGTTTTGTCCGGGAACATGAAGTGGAACTGATTGATTCCAGTCACCTGATCCGGTGACTAGAGCTGGTACCCATTGAAGCTGAGTCCACAGTTTAGGTACTCAACCCTTTCCGAGACTTGTTATATGGCGAAATGGTTGGCAGCTGGAGCGTTGATAGACCCAGATTGGCTGGAAAGAACCTGGGACGCCTGCCAACCAGAAGGTAGCATTTGCGCCAACGACAAGAATCGCCCACTCTTTTCACGCTCCTGTTCATGTTCACTGCAAATTTAACACGCCCTGAGGCTGCTACGAGCGACAAGAGCTCAAGCGCGGGTCGTGCACTAATTGTGGATTTGATCTCTCCTGGCTTGATTACTGAATTTGCGTAATTTCCCCGCGCATCGTCTGCTGATAAACTCGGTCTCTATCCTGACTGTTGAGACTGACTCAATAACTGTCTTCTCTTGGCCTCAATGTGACAGGAGCAACTTCTCCAAACAATCAGCTAATCATGGCGGATAGCGCTCCGTCGGTCTGGTCCGGATCCACTACGACGACTTACGATTCATCCAGCGAAGATTCGCTTGCCAACAAACAAGGCGCCCCTCGACTAACGGACGAAGAGGATCCGTTAATACCAAACCCAGCCGATGTTCACCGTACCTTCTGTGATGGAAAGGCAACATGGAATGCTTTCTTGGATGAAGCGAGCAGAATACCTTCAGGTCTCTGGCCAGTAGATGCACTGGACCCATACATCACTTTGGTAGACGTCCCAAGCCTTCCGGAACATCTTCCTCGCAGCGCTTTTCTGTACGGCAGGCCTTGCTGGGAACTGCCCCTCGACATCGGAGGGACAGTGCACGAACAACATCCCGATAGCAATGTAGCCCTCGTCCACGGGTACCGAGCCGGGTTTCGATTAGGGGTAGACAAACCACTCCGTTGCCACATTCGCCCAGATATAGAGTCACGCGACTTAGGTATTGGTTCGGAGACAACCAACAGCCTTGGTGTATTGGTCATGTGCTGGTCATACATCCTTTCAGTTCGACTTCTTGAAATGCAAGGCCGACCGGTACGTTATAATATTAGGGATCGTTTATGGCCCGATACGACCCAGCGCCAAAGGGGAAGTGCGGTTGATCTGGACCTCGAGGGTGCGTCACCCTCGCTCATCAGGTGGCTTTGCGCGATCCTCAGTCCCAAGATGGGTTGGCGAGCCATGGACCTAGGAAAACTACCTCCATGGGCAACGTATTTTAACACGGGTATTAAAATTAGCATCAGAGCATCAGACTCAGTCACAGACATGCGTTTGCCTCCCACCTCTTCTGAAGCTACGGAGCTTCTCATCGAACTATGTCGACTATTCAATCTTGGTGCCGACTCAACAGGAGACTCCAGCCTCCAACCGATGCCTCTCCACGAGGCGTCGTTCATGGCCGCACTTGTAATCCCCTTCTATACCTTTATGAGGCTCCAGCCCCGGCTCCCTCGTCCACATCTCACTGGGCCACAGAAGAATGGCACTTTCAGCTGTTCTCATGAACAGAGCATTCGAGGGTACCTCAGTGATATGCGATATTTCATGGCCCTCAGCGCCTATCCGCCTTCCATTGGCACCATTATATGGAGTATCTTGTGGCAGCCGGACGTTGATTGCAATCTGGTTGGCCCGTGGCTCGCAGCCGTCTTGGACACGTTGGAGCCAGCACTTATTCAGGAACAACTCGAGCTCATAGCAAAAGTCTTTATTTCCCGCCGACCTAGAGTTGCCATTTGGTGGGTGGCTCTCTTCTTGTTGGGCGACCCTACTCTACTTAACTGGATTCAACGATATACAATGACAATGGAAGAGAAGTACGGATCCGGATCACTATCGCCACCAGATCCGATGGTGTCTGCCTGGACTGGATCTAAGCAGTCATTCATGGATCTTGACAAGGATTCTCTCTATACAGAACCCTCTGATCAGGTATCTAGAGCTGATCTACTTCGGTGCCGCTTCGACCTTAAACTTCAGGACTCGGCCAGCGCAACGCTGGCATGGCGACCCTTTGGATACGTACAGAAGGGGCGGGTAGAACTCGAACTTTGGCCGCAACTCGAAACTAAGTATACTCGCAAGTACCACTCATTCACCTGGTACATTAGGAAGAAAGCCATCTCCGACAAGGGCTTTCGGGCATGTACTGGGCGAATGATGAGCAGCATGCCAGACAACTTGGAGATGCGTACCTCGGCCGAGAATGTGGAGAGAGATCACCAAGCCATCAGTGTCCGGCCGTCGAAAAAGTCCACCCTCAAAATGATGTCGTTTCTGGTAGAAGACGCCGCAGGTGGTCGTAACTGGGCGAATGCTGATATGCCGGGAAAGCTTGAGCAGCACCGCTGGCTGCGCGATTGGGAAGGCCTCTACAGCATGGATGAGGAAATCGTGGAACCCGACGAGACGCCGACCAAGCCTGCATCATGGTTCCTTGAGGAATGGATTGAGGGCAAATATTAGTAACAAGAGACGTTGTGGGAGTGATTGATCTGACGCATGGATTGCTCTGGGGTTTAGATCGCATGGCGTTGGGAAAGGAGGTCTAGAGCATGTAGGATGATTCAGATTCGGTAATTATCTCGTTGGTCCCCAATTAATTCTCTTGTCCTCGAAAAGTGCAAACAAGGGCATTTCTATTGTGGCCTAGAAGCCTCGGCTCAGTTGTGGTTCTCCTCTCGCAATTGCCGTCTCTCTCCTCCCCATCGGGGTCTTGGTATTGCCGAATAACCTGGGGTAACCTCGCACTATTTGCCTCAAACAGGGAAGGCGTCCTATAATAGAATCTTCCCGACGGAGTTTACACTCTAAACTCACATCTCAATGGCTATTCTCGCACTATTTCTCTGGAACAGGTCGAGTTTCTATACTGGATAACTATTTCCTTCTTGTTAGGGATGCCTCGCCTTGATGTATTTAAATTATTCCAAATGCCCTCTCGGACTTCTAAGGACGAGTTGTTTCTAAGTCGAACATAAACGAAATCCACCTTTTCTTATAGCATCCTCCTAGAACTTGGGCCAATACGATTACGATCTTCACTCAGGCTCAACTACATTCCCTTGTCTTTGATCTTGACTATACCTTTTCAATTTATTCTGATACTATTAGGTTGTAGACAAGATGGCGGAAATATTCCCTTCCTCCCTGTCTGCTAACAATGCAGTTGCCTACTACAACGGCCGAGTGTATACAATCGACAAGAAGAAGCCATGGGCCGAGGCCTTTATCGTCTCCCCCAACGGCATTTTCGAAGCAGTTGGCAGCGATGTCGAAATCAAAAAGATTGCAACAGAGAGAAGCCTCGTCATGTTCAACCTGCGTCAGAAGTTCATCATGCCGGGTATTCACGACGCCCACACGCACCTGCTGGTGGCTAGCATGCAGGGCTTGAGTGAGGCCCAGATCGGCCACGACGCGAACGAATACACTCTCGCTTCCAAGATTAACGAAGCGCAGTGTGCCTGCTCTTATAACAACGTATTTGGGGACTGGATCGTGGGCAGCTTCTACACTGCCGACTGTTTTCCAAACCAGAAGCCCGATAGGAAGTATCTTGACGAGACTTATCCGGACCAGGCTGTATTTGTTCGGGATGTGAGCGTTCACAATGTTCTGCTCAATACTGCTGCATTGATAAAATGCGGAATCGACCCGGAGAATGCTCAAGACCCGCCTGGCGGTAGGTATGTTCGCCGTCCGGACGGCACGCTTACCGGGGAGCTGGTGGAGAGTGCCCAACTAATGGCCTCTCGTCACCTCGGACGACCTCCACTGGCTTTCGTCAAGGAAGCCCTCCGCTTCGGCATTGAGATGTGCCACCGCTTCGGCGTCACCTCGTGCCAAGAGGCATCGGCGTCGACGGCATATCTGCACGCTGTGAGAGAGCTCGAGGCTGAAAACAACATGGGTATCGATCTGTATACTCACATCGTCTGTCATCACGATTTCCACCTCACCACGTCGGAACCCAGGGTCAGTCTCGAGGCCCTGCTGGATATTTCCGAGGGGTTCCGCAGTAAACACGTCAACACCAGATTCGTCAAGATGTGGCTTGACGGGGCACCTCTACCCCCGAACTTCACGCACTGCAGCCTAAAAGAGGATGGCCAGCCGGACGACTTTCTGCTTATCAACTGGGAGGACCTTTTGAAGAACTTCAAGAGATATGATAGCCGAGGCTTCACAATCAAAGTACACGCCGCCGGTGATGGATCCGCTCGGCGCGTTCTAGACGTTATCGAAGAAGTGCGCAAGTTGAATCCTCATGGCCCGAGGCATGAGATTGCTCACTGTAACTCCGTTCACCCTGGTACGTGAAATCTGGCGTCTTCCCGATTGCACAGGAAGGGAGCATGCAATGTATGAAAAGGGATCACACCTTTGCTAACCATGATTCATTCGAATAGACGACATTCCGCGCATGACGAGACTCCGTGTCACAGGCGAGATGTCGCCTGCCATATTCCATCATGGACTGGAAGCTACCTACCCCGACGTTTTCAGATGGCCGTTCAACGAGCTCATGGCCGACGGGGGTTTGGTCACCATCGGATCCGACTGGGTTCTCACGCCTACCCCGAGCTTGTTCGATGCTCTGGCGTACATAGTTGACAAGCTCGAGTACGCTCCCGGTGGCGAGAGACGACTCGCCGACAGCTCCAAGACCAAGCGAGAGATTGGCGGTGAGATTATTTGCGAGATAATCACCTTGAACGGCGCAAAGGCAGTAGGCGCCGAGATGAGAACGGGGAGCATCGAGGTTGGCAAGCGGGCAAACTTTATCGCGGTTGATAGGGACCTGAGCGAGGGGGAGTTTGCTGGTGCCACTGTTCTCAAGACTTGGTTTGAGGGCAAGATGGTGTATAGCTCGAATGTTACCGGATCTCGAACTTTTTGATAGGTAGTCACTGAAAGATGGAAAGGTCTTGTATTTGACATTGCAAATTGACGGCCTGCCAAGAAGTCGGGCCTCAAATCCATCCATGATTGCCCGTCCAGATCCGACGAGTGTTTTGATTAGGCGTGAAGAAAGCCACCGGGGGCTGTACCCTCTCTTCTGTCTATTCAGGTAGATTCATTTGGCTTCAAGAAAGCCGAATCGCGAGGAGAAGTACAAAAAGAAGGGCGAGGACCGTAAGCCCAACTTGAGTAACACTGTGGGAGGGCGAGAGGCACAAGAGCGTGGCAGCATGGCAATAGGATAGTGGATAGGAGAGACAAGAATCCTCGTCGTAAAATAATCTCTATCATTTTGGGTCGTAACTATAGTCTATGCCATTATCATCCAGTCCCCATCCCCGGCTATGCTACACTAAACCAGCCTGCTGGTCCTCCTCATCCCCCCCCCGTTTTCCCTATTATTTTCCTACATGAGATCGCCAAGACGCAGCTCGTCGGTAATACTTCGACCCTTCATAGTCAACCTCCTCATTTTCCCACCGCGCTGGCGAGTAGGTGTTGTCCTGAGTGTTCAGGCGCACAGCATTAGGGCGGCTGGGCCGAACATCATCTTCATCGTCGGAATCATCGCGGTCGTGCTCGTAGTCAGACATCTCATCCTCCGCATCACGAGTAGATTTGCCATATTTAGAGTTAGGCACAGGTTGGTTGCGGGGTGCGCCCTTTGAGGTCTTTGATGGCTCGAGATTCAACTCTAGGTCAGAGAGGTCGAGTTCAGGTAGCATCGGCTGAGAGGATGAGTTCCGCGAGTGACCGGTAACAGGAGCCGGTTGCCAGTTAGTCTTGGCAATAACCTCTTGCTGTCTGGGTTCCGTGCTCGTCGGTTGCATATCTTCTGTGTCCACCCGACGAAGTTGAGAGGAAACGAGGAATCCAAGGCCTCCACCAGCTGCAAGTACAGCAGCACGATCGACCTTGCCACCCTGCTGAGTGGGTGCAGGATTACCGCCTTGCTCTGACTTTGTATCCTCCTCCTCGTAATCCTCGGGCTTTGCTCTCCGCTCCGTAGCAGGCAAGCTTCCAGATCTAGGGGCAGAGGCGGTAGGAGCACCTTGCATATGGCCAGGAAGAAGAACCATAGGGAGACCTGCCATGGGGGCTGAGACTGGTCGCCTCGACCGTGCTGGCGCCTCCAGGTTGGCTTTTATATGGGCCTCGGGCTCGATAGCGGAAGGCGGCTCGATCTCGACTTCTGGTGGCTGCTGTTGCTGCACTGGCCTGACGAATGGCGACCCATGCCCACTTGAAGGAAAGCTCTCAGGAGTCCCAGGCTTCGAAACGGGAGGTGTCTGCTTTTGAAATGATGCTACACGGCGGTGTGGCGCTGCTGGTCGCTCGGGGGGGAGATGCTGAGAAACTGACGAGGCCTCGAAGCCTTCGAGACCCAACAAGGAGGGCATGCTGTTGTTGGACTGGCCCATAATACCGCCTGCGGGCATCGAATGTCTATAGTTGTTCTGATTAAAAGCCCCGGTGTCCAGACATCCAAGCCCGGGTATCATGCTAGGTGGGTGGGCTATCTGGGGCTGAGCAGGCTTGAAAGGCTGGAAGGTCTTTGTCGAAGCCGCCATCGACGGTGCCTGTGTCGCACCCGAATAAGGAACATAGGTCGTCTGCTCTGGCGTAAAATCGGCTGGGATTGACTGGTAGTAGCTCCAGCTCTTTCTGTGGTCTTTGGAGTTTGTCACTCCAAGACTTGACGGCGCCGGTCCAGGCCATGCCACAAATGCCTTTTCGGATGAAGGGCGGCTGGCGGTGACGCCAAGCTCTCCCTCCAATTCGGCAATTAGTGCAGATGTGAATGCATTTTCGTCCTTGTGTTCGCGGGTTCCATCTGTCGATGATGTTGTCGAATGTGCCCGTTCGCGAGCCCCATGGCCTACGGCTAGGCTCTGAGGCGGGGTATTAAATCCAGGAACTAAGCTCAATGGTACCGCGGTCGATTGGGGCTTTGGTTGAACTGGTTCCTTGCGTGTTATCGTCTTGGGCAGTTCTGACCCAGACCGGGGACGTTCTCGGAACTCGGAGACGTGAGCATTCAGAAAGCTAAGAGCATCGTGACCGCTTTTATCGACTTCTGGGCTCATACCAGGGCTCCACGAGACAGCACGAGGCCTTGAGCTTGAGGGAGCCAGTGAATTGCTGCCGGTGTTTATATGCAGCTTAGGGGGCTGTTGCTTTACATGGTGTCCCGACCCATCATGTTGGATTCGCAGTGTCGGTAAATCTGTGTTGGATGACGAAGTCGTGATGTATGAGCGTCGCCTAAAGTCTATTGAAGCTGGGAATGGTTCCGTGTCGGATGTCGAGGTCGTACCCTCGGGGGCGTACGGCTGATAAGCCTTGAACGACACTGGAGCGGCGGAGCTCATGTTGCATGAGACATGGGGTGAGTTTGAATCTGTAGAGAGAAAAGCGAGGAGAATAGGATTTGGGTCGGGCTCAAAGGTCTATTTCATATACGGGAACACAAAGAGGCGTAGTTAATAAGGGTCTATTCCCGCTGACGGCGCCAGGATTATTAGCTCTAGCATCGCCGCGTTTCCCTCCAGTTGGGAACGGATATGGGCTCCGTGCGGATGGGCTCTAGACGTTGGATCCCGTCTCACGCACACGCACACAGCCGAATCATCCCTGTCATCTGGCTTGGCTGACTGCAGACGCCATGTAGTGGATGTGGATGCTGCCAGCCTGTCACGATCCTTCATGAACTGGCATCTATTTTTCCTCTTTGGTAGCGTATAGATAGGGTGACATGTCCTGTTCGTCATGACCGCAAATTGAGCATACGACATGAGCTTCGTAGAATATTCCATTCTTAGATGGAGTACGCTTTTACGAGGAACTGGCCCACTGTCTTCAGCCACCCCCATGGCTGGTTCTGCATGCACAGGGCCACGGGATAAATCCCTGTATCTTCACCAATTATAGCCAGAAGGAGACTCACAACTGCTTCTCAAAGTGCAAGAAAGAAACGGTTGCCGATGCCATGTTGGTGGTTCTAAGTCAAATGCCGACAGCCGGATTAGACGTCCACTAGCCACAATGTAAGACAACCATGACAGCCCGCTATTTGAAATATTGAGAGGGTTGCTCTGCTTTGTCAGGTCTCGGTTAAAAATAAACACAGCCCATGCCCATGCGCAGCCAAGCCACCTGCTGCGCGTTTTCCCCATAGACTGACGAAATCCCGCCTTTTCGCAGCGGCTGGTATCCGTGGCCGCGCCTATTGGTGTCCGGCTCGTCTAGCCCCGAGTAGTATTGACGCCGAGGGCGGGCTTGTCTGGTTCCGTTGGCCGCGGGTGTGACAAGCGCTTCAGCCCCGACTTTTGGTGTTGTCTTGAAGGTGCATCGCAGGCTGAGCGCACGTGAGTCGTTAACAAACTTGGGCGTTTTGTGGCTAACTTGTTACATTAGTCCTGGCAAGCCCAGTTGTGCGCAGCAGCTCCCTCGATGTGGACGGAACGGGACGAAACGATCATCCTTCGCGCACGAGTGTGCCTTGGGCTTGATGGAAGTGTACGCGAAAAAGGTATCGGACCTGCCTGACCTTATCTTAAGGTTAAATCGACTAGTTTCTGGGGCTGGATCCCAATAGACCAGGGATGGGGAAGTCCAGACTCCATTCCTGCATCTCAGCTCGGCGACTTGGAAAATCAGGCTCTGAGCTGAGACATCATCTCAACCCTACAGAGACGCAAACAGACAGACACGCGATGTAAGGAGAATGTCGACTCGAGACGGCTCGGCTCAGCCTCGATCAAGAATCCCCAAGGCTCTATTTCCAGAAGTGCCTTGCATCGGCTGCAGCCCTATGGATGGTGTTCCCCTCGGCGTTCTTGGTGGAGGCTATGCCAATCCTCCATCACACACACACAATCAAGAGTCTAGAGCCTGCTTCTCTAGCCGAGAAGCTTGCAGCCAAACAACCGCCCCCAAGGCTCCATAATACTGCACAGGGCTTTCTCCCAAGGCTCTGAACTATTTCATTTGAGGCCATATTGACCAGGCTGTGGCGTTTTTCAGCTCTTCCCCCCTGCGTAGGACCTCTGTAGGACTATAATAAAGCAAACATGTCCCGCCGATTGATCCCCAGCAAGGCTGCGATACACATCCTCCTCCTTCGACATCATGGGCCACAGGTGCGCAGGCTACTACGTGAACTGCACGCTCCAGTTTGGGCAGGATGGAAGCGTGAGCAGCGTTGGAAATGTCACTCGCGGCGAGTTCAAACCCAACGCTGATGTCGCGGGGATTGGCGTGAGTCTCTTTTGGCCAAGATCTGGGGTTTGTCTGGGCATTGAAACTGACAAGAGGCTTAGACTGTCTTGGCTTTGGTTATTCCCACTGGGTTTGGCCTATTCGTGAGCTTGATCATTGGCATGGCCTTGATCCTCGATCGCGTCCCGGGCGTTTATCGATTTCTTCGCAGGTGAGAAGGTTTCTGAAAGGATGAGTAGAAGACAGTGCTGATCACTTTATAGACGTCCTGTCCTGCGAAATCTCGTTCCTAGCCCGAATCAAATTCCCGTCGAGCTTCCAGCCGACAGCCAGCCCTTGATACACCACGCGAATTCGTCGACCACATTAGCATCGAACACAGGCTACGAGCAAGTCCCCCTTCAGGACAACCCAGAACACTCTCCCGAGCATTCACAAACCGAAAGGGGGTCTGCTGCAACATATTACGATGATCACCCAGAAAGACCCGAGCGTCGCGCCCAGCGACCGGCTCACGCAAGAAGTTCTCATAGTCAATGGAGGGGATCCCGACCAAAGGGCACAATCTACTACCGTCCCATCACACAGAGAAACGTTGAACAGGCGGTAGCAAAGCCATCGGTATCGGCTACAAAAAAGCGAAGCACCATCATGATCAGTCTGTCTCAACTTCAAGACTTTTCAGACCGAAACACTCTCTCAGAGACACGATACGACATGTTGGAAGCCATCATGCTCTGCATCCCTGATTCGCAGATCCTCATCGCTCTAGCTCTCGGCCTGAGCTTTGCATCCCGGAGCAAATGCACAACTTCACAGTACCACATGAACGTCGTCGTTTGGCTGAGTCTGATTGCTTGTACAAACTTTCTCCTAGCTTTTACGCTGGTGCGCAACTTTTGGCGCTCAAAGCCGGCGGGAATCATTAGAATCTGCTGCTTCACGGGGGTATTGATCTTTCTGATGTTTGTGTTTATCTGGCAACGCAGAACTGGCTGGACGACTGAATCTTGGCCTCCGGACGAAAGAAAGGATAGCTTGATCTTGTTCAACGCCATCTGTTTCATGCAGGAGCAGAGTCTGCGCAACTTTACGAGTCTCTCCGATAATCAGTACAGCAAAGTCGGCAAGCTTGTCTCGACCAGCCAACCCTTTTCAGAGCTGGACTTGTTGTCATATCTAATCATCTGCATCATCTTTGTGATCACTCTGATCATCAGAGTTTACCAGTTCTTCAAGTTCCGCACAAACGGACCCCCTCGAGGATCCCATACCGACGACGAGACCAAAGGGCTTCGAAGCCTTCCCGCCAAGACATGGCTCATCATGGCATGGTGGCTCGTCTCGTGGCTCTGCTGCGGCCTCATCTACATCATCGCGACGCGTCGTATTTTTCACCTAAGGAGCTGGATCGCTGATTCAAATTGGATGGAGTCGGATGAGTTTTCGTCCAACCCTGAGAACGACGTGCGTGGGTTTGGTCAGGTCACGCCGCTTGTAGCGACGGGGGCTATTATTCTTGCTGCGATGGACACGATGAAGCCTCGGTGGGTTTTACTAGACACTTTTCTTTTGGGGAGTTTTTGCTAATTGTTTACACAGATATGTGACGTGCAAGATAGTGGAAGAAGAGCCTGTGCAGGACAATCATGACAATGGGGAGGCATAGCGAGATAATGGTCGCTACGATAGGACGTACAAGACACCTTCACCCCTTAGGCAGCTCGATCCACGGGCGGCTTTCTGTCTATGGGTGGATGAGCATGTTGACTTGGTTATACGGCGTATGGCGTTGGTGAGGGTATTGTAGTATGGATGATGGGCATTTAGTTAAAGCGCCCGTTAGCAATAGAAACGAACAGTCACAGTTTCTTAGCAGGACATCATTTATGTCCAACCAATGTTAAATAAGCTCGGAAACTCCCAAGGTCACGAGAATTCCATTCCTCTACTCCTTGCTGCTTTTCTGTACAAGAACGGCACAAGTTTGAAACTATTCGTGATAGCGTCCTTCAAAAACTTTGAGCTGTACTATAACGGGGCATGCCCGTTGGGCGGTTCTGATTTCCTCATTGAACCCACTTCGGGAATCTTCACCTGCATATAATCCTTCTACCGAGCTGACGGGCCTGCAACCATGTCCGTCAAGTCGCCAAGAGCTGATTACGCGGAGGAGGAGGTCTCCGGACACCTCGGGTTGAACCCCGCAAAATGGGATCTCGAACTGAAGAAGCGAGGCAAGATCGCGCCCATATTCTACTGGCTTCCCTGCTAATAAATAAGGGCAATATCCCCGCTAAAACCCAGACAATAGCGTCTTGTTCTGGTCTTGGTTCGGCAAAACTTCATTCTTAGCAAGCTCGTGCAAAAGCCGAAGGGATGTTTTTGCATGTGACAGGCAGAAAGAAGGGAATGACTTTCTGACTGCGCCGCGTTAGTTGAAAGGGCTCACGTGGGACGGTTTCGGACGGGAGGACTTGAGTAATTCGTGGCTCTTTCCGTTTTCGAATCTGATTTCCATCTGCCTTCATCACTCTTTTTTACTTCATTCCTTTTGATCCGGTCAGGTGAAAAAAGTGTTTCTTGTTTGCGAGACATGCTGCTCAAGAGGGCCCTGGAGTCACAAGAGTCTCTGACGTCGCGGGGCACACTTCCAGAAGGTACATGGCCTAAAGTACCTGGGGTACAGTAATGACGCCTGGATATCGCCCAGTGGCTTACAGTGGGTAGCAGCACCTAACAAGGACGGTAGACTTTGAGGCCGTGTAGATGGCTGCCTTTGTGAGTTGTCTCTTTCATGAATGTCATCATCATTATCAACACCACGACTGCCATCTTTTCCCTCCCTCTTCACTTCTTCCTCTTCAACCCCTTGTCGTTCCCCCAGTCTATCCCGTCGGCACGGACAGCCCTAGCAGGCCCCATCAGCTAAAAGTGGCGCCCCCCATGACATAAACCGTCCCCAAGCTCTTTATTAGCCTCCACTGTTAGTGACTCGATTTGTGACCCTCTGACGTCGCGACACGGCCTGGCTGAGTTCACGGAACCGAGTGAGCACGGGGCGAGAGAACACTTCTCCCTCTCTCTGTCTTGCTGTCTCGGATCCATCGGCGATAGCTTCACTTCATCTCTGGAATCTGCTACTGACTGTTCAACCATCCTAGGATACCCCTTGGCTGTCCCATCTTGGATCGTCGCCCATGTCTTCCCGCGACGATGCCTCCCTCGGCGCATCGCCTCCCTCCTACGAATCCCATCCCTCGACTGGCGGCGCGCCTCCGACCTATGCGACTTTCTCACCCGTAACCCTTTCCGCAAATACTCCTTCTCGATCCTCCCGTCGATCAACCATCCTTGTCCATCACAAGAGCCCGCTGCTCCTTGCCACTCCGCCTCAGATCACCCGAGCCCTTGCCTACAGTCACCCCTTTATACTCCCGTTAAACAACCTAGCGGGGCTGCTCACCTGGAGCACTGGAGATCCATGGCAGAGCTTCCTATTAGTCTGCTTCTTCTGGGCCGTCGTTCTCTATGGAGATGTGGTAGTCACATGGGCCGGGCCTGTCATGGTAGGCGTGGCCCTTATTGCTGGCATGTACGGCCGAAGATACAGTCCTCTCAGTAGTAGTGGGTGGGCCGAACCTCGAAGCCAACACAGAGATGCTGCGTCTCAAGGCGCAACTCAGACCGGTGAGGCCAGCCACCAAAAGGGGAAGCCCAGCGTCAGCGAGAAGCAGTCGAAGCATGTTAGGGGAAACTCCGAAGTCACCAATACCAAGCACCAAAAGACGTTGGATGAGATTGTCGAAACAGTCAAAGAGTTCACAGGGAGATGCAATGTCCTCCTGGAGCCTCTCCTTGACATGACGGATTTTCTCAGCACCCAGAGAACACCGACCAGTGCTACGACTCGACCAGCCGTGACCGTCATCTTCATGCGCCTCCTCATAATTACACCCATTTGGATCGCCTTGACTGTTCCACCATGGAGGGTCATCACTACGAGGCGGGTTATACTAGTCGCTGGCACAATCATCTTGACATGGCATGCAAGAGTTATGAGGGTCTCTAGGGCTATCCTTTGGAGAAGCTCCATGGTGCGGCGGGTTGCGGCCGGAATCACCGGACTTCAGTTTGACACACCCGAAAAGCCATTCCGAAAAGAATTGGCAGTGGCTGCCACCAAGGGCTCAGAACGTGTGGCTCAAGAGTCGGAACTTACAAAGGCTCTGGGCAAGTCTTCAAGCTTTTCAACAAACCATGGACGAAGGAACGGCCACGCCAAGACTGCAGGTGTCAAGTTCACGTTTATCATCTACGAGAATCAACGACGTTGGCTAGGTCTCGGGTGGACGAACAACCTTTTCGCATATGAACGACCTGCGTGGACAGACGAGCATAATAATCCGGTACCTGCAAAGGATGACTTTGAGTTACCCGAGGTGGAAGATGGGAGCCGTATGGAGTGGCGATGGGTTCAGAGTGGCCGTTGGCGCGTTGATGGAGTTACCGACGATCAAGGGGCCATCGACTATGATGGAGAAGAGGGTAAGAATGGATGGATCTTTTACGACAACAAGGTAAGCAAGGGCAAGTAATTCAGTATGAACGATGGTGCTGACCCTCGCAGTGGCAAAACGGACAGCGAGGCCAGGATGGTTGGAGCCGATGGACGAGACGACGGAAGTGGTATCGTGATGCCGAGTTGGTTGAAGTGGACCAGTCACAGGATGCTCACGCCGGTGATGCGGTAGAAGCCAAGGACTCTCCCACAGTGGCCAATGTAAGGACTCAACAATACAACTCGAGCAACGAAACCATGGTTCCCACACGACCCGACGCGGCCGACCAGGCCCAAGCCCACGCCGAGGACCTCAGCATCGATGACGCGAGTTCCAAAGCAGCAGACGATTCCCTGTCAGTACACTCGACATCTTCAAGATCATTCTTCCGGTCGCCATTAATGCGGAAGCGTGTCGCTGACCGATCCGTCACGGATAAAGAACGTACTAGGAGGGCCAGTAGGACTAGCAGCTTGTACAACGACGATGACGCGAGCGGCCTTGGAGCATCCCTTGCACTGGAGATCCAGAAACAGGGCAAACCAGGTGGACAGTGGGGGATTGGTGACGAGGCACGAATGAGTCTTGAGTGACGAGACGACGGGTATTTGACAGCGGCATTACCATGACCAGGTCATTGGCGTTGACGGGTTTTTGCAGGCGAGTTTGTTTTATTATCTGGGTCGACGGTGCTTTGCAGGTAATTCTGAACTGTGGTTCACAGGCGCGAATGATTCATTGGTACTTACGGCTAGGTACGAGGGAACGGCGTATGAAAGGTTGTCTAGGGCGATGGATGGACGGACGGGTGTAAGATAACGACGGAAAGGGGAGGATATGACGAATACCAAGTCTTTGATTGACTACATTTCTGTTACAGGACAAAGGAAACAGCATTAGGTGTCCCTTGGCACAGCCATGGCCTCATGACGGCCTACTGGTGATGACCATGTCTAGAGTCTAGAACAAAGAAAGGGCTCATGGTGCGACTCAACGATGGCGCCTCTAGGGATACAAGAGTTTGTCACACTCGGAATAAAGGCAGATTTTTGGGTGGTAGCACTCTGAGTCGTGCAGTGCAAGTAACGGTTCCTTTTATATGACGTTTTCTTGACCGAGGTCGTTTCGTGGGTTTATGAGCTGGCAGTCCGACCTGTTGCGCTTTGCCAGTGTTGATCAGTGTTGGCGACTGTCGCTTGGTCAACATTGCACAACTTTTTATATTTTAAAATACTGATTGCCCGACATTCTCTTTTGCTTTTTAAACAGTTGTTATTTTCGCAGCTTCAAACATCGACAAGATGGAGCCTCCTCCGCTCCGGCACCCGATTCGCAAGAAGAGAAGCACTCGCGCAAGCAACCTCACAATCTCGCTCGCACCTGAACTTGCTCCTCCATCATGTCGAAGCATCACTTCGCCCGTGAGACGTTCGCCTGCAAGGCCCTCCCCCGCACAGCAATCAGCGCCCTCGTCTCTCGTTTCTCCAGTTCGCAGTACCACCATCCAGCAGCGCAACTATTCCGGCCCGTCGCCCGACTTTCTAGCTCCACCTCTCAGCGAGTCGCTTGTATCTGTTGAATGGATCTGTTCGTTCGGAACGGCCTGAGGAGAGGGCTGATTCTACCGAGACTGTTCGAGGACCTTTGACTCTGGATAGAGGGGGCACGCCGCCATTGACACCCTTCCCACCCTTCGCACGCTGGGTGAGTGACGACGAAGACAATAGCTGCGATGTTCGTCGCTGGGAAGAATCAGTTCAACGATCCACATCACAAATGGACAATAAGCAACATAGCTACGATGGTCGTCATGTTCCCGTCACTATAGTTCGGCTTGAAGGGAGATGGATCATCAGCTCTGCCATTCACGGGTTCGTTCTCGTGACGCAGTTTGCTGTGTCTCTTGGTGTTTTCAGTGCTCTTATGTGGGTTACTGTGTGGAAGGAGGATGAGCCCGGAAACGACTTTACTGAATGGTAAGAGATGGTCTTTTATATGTTGCGATTTATCTAATCACAGATACAGGCTATGGACGTTCGTTGACCCCATCCTTGTCACGCTTCTTCTTCTCTGCTCTGTCACTCTTCTCGCCCACGAGGTCAAGCTTCTCTCATCCGTCGCGCTCTTGTATCTTCAATCCCTCATTCTCGCCGTTACGACCGCCGCAAGCGTCGTTCTCTGGGCACGCTGCTTCCAAGAACAGAGCCCCGAGGTCAAAGGTGTCTTGATGGGATGTAACGTGATGCTTTGGGGGCTTGCGTTGTTTGGCTTCATCAGAGCTGCTGTGGTGTGGAAGGCTGAGTTGAGTGAGGACGGGGGTATGGATGTTGAGAGGGGTATGGCGTATGGGACGTTTGTGCCATGGGGTGTTGGTGATGAGAGACGTGGTTCTCTTTGAGAGGCTTGGGAGCTTTTTTGCTCAGGGGGAGTGCTGTGGCTCTGTTGACGGGGTGGGATTCAGTCTACTCTAACATCTTGATGCCTACACCATGACAGAGACTCTGATCCCTGCTTCAACTGCCCTATATACCTCGCTTGGGCTCCGTCCATTTTTTACAAAGTAGTTCCTCTTGGGCTTCTTGTAAGGCTTCCCCACACGCGCCGGTCCGATCACCCTATCGCGAGGTTTACCTTTCTGGCGACGGAAACTCCTCAACTGGATGTGAGTTGTCAGTAACTAGCACAGTGTCTAATAGGGAAATCTATAGAGATATTGACTTACTCCTGTGACTCGTAGTGCTGCTCTGAAGAATTTGGCTGCGGCTTTCTTAGTATCCTCAATTGCTTTGCCATGCCCGAGGAAAGAAACATATTCATCGTATCCAATCCAGCACTCCCGCATCTCTGACCGACGCTTATGGTATCTTTCAAGCTAGTGTCAGGATTCATAAAATAGATGGTTTTCGGGTAGGGCAATACGTACTTTTTGTAGGCCTTCCAGGCTATGAGGGCCGTCGCCTGCTTCATCAGATCAAGCTCCTCGCTCTCATGCAAAGTTGACATGCTTGCAGACACTTTACCGGCAGCGTGATAGTTTTTGCTATCTTTTGCGAACTCGCTTCGTGGCGGGACTCTGGGCTCGCCTGCTGCTAACCGCTCCCTGATGGCCGTGCGGTAAGGGTCGTTGCAGCTTTCTGCTGTCATCCCAGGAGGAACACTCGCGGTGGAGTCTCTTCTCCCGCCGATACCGAACCTCTGCTTGGGGATACTCATGACAAACTTGTTGGCCAGCTTGTCGCGGACTGGGAGCTCGCCGGTCGAGGAACGACGGGAGAGGGCAGGTCTTTCTTGGTTGACTGCCCGTAGTAAATAGCCAGCCAGACGAAGGGCAGTAGGGCTTGGCTCCGGAGTGCGGATTTTTTGGGGGTACACTAAGGGTTGCAATCCCTTTGGGTCAAAGACTTCGTGATGCTCGAGTTGTGGCTTGGGGGAGGTCACCTCGGGGCGGGAAGCCACTGGGCGAGTGCCATCGACCTGGGGTCGCCCCTTTCCAAGTTTCCCCTTCTGTATGTTGGACGTTGGGCGACTGGCAATATTTCGAGGATGCGCTTGGGTGTTGTGTTCCTTTGGGTTGAGAACACTCGGCGATCCGAGTTGAAGGTTCCCCTCGAGAGTGTTGGTTACTAGATAAGGGCCCATATATTGAGGGCTGGACAATGTGTTGCATCCATCTAGGTTGCTGGGAGGATTGCGTCCTCGATTTTGGCCGTTCTTCTGGCCACTCATGGTTGACAGCGAGGCTTTGCTGCTCTGTGGCGCCTATGATGCTCACTGTACTTCGGTGTTCAGGTTTTAGAGCTGCCTCAGTCTTTTGCGTTGTCCGGTATATCAAAAGGGTCTCAGTTTCTCTTGCCTTTCGTGTTCCACTGACTGGGCATCATGGGCAGGCGAGTGTATAGGGCAATGAGAGATACTCCTTGGTCGTCGAATGAGATAGTTGATCAAGGCGATGGTTTGAACACACGAGCGATAGAGAGAATTTATACTGCTGTCTGTATTCATCCTACGTGATTTGCTCAAGGCTTCTTTCGCTTGTTTTCATCGCCAAGAGGCAGGCTTCCATCTTATATGGCATGTAGTATCAATTATATAGCGGCATTATAGTAGAATCAAGGCATAGAAATGAGTGAAAGATGTTGCGGATGCCTTCTGGTGGCTCACGGGATTTGACAGGACACAAAGGACGAAGAAGGAGGTCGCTTTGGCGACCTAGACATTTACTTGTTTCTCGCGCCCGTGGGTCTTAAAGGTGAGTGAATATCCAGACTAGACCAGGCCAAGAATCGCGTCGCTTGAGTTGTTCAATTAACGAATACATACTTGCACAACATACCACGAGCTATCCCAACACCTAATGCCTATGAAGAGGCCATGGCAGAAATACATATCACATGGATCATATGAAGGTGCTATAGGCGCAAGGAAGATGCGATTGCCCGTCTGCTGAACATAGTTGGTTCGGAAAAGGTTGAAGGGGGGGCAGGGTGAATGCGACAGAAGTTGTGAACTCGTGCTTGGTTGCTTGTTGAAGCGCGCCAACGATCAATTACGCTCATGGTCACTACGATAATAGAACAATGATGCCTATTTTATTAATTACAACTGTCTTCAGACATTCTTTATGAGCCTTTTGACAGTTCGTGGTGCCCAGATTGCCTATGAGCTCACCGAAAGAGTCTGGCATTCACAAAGTGATACAACACCAACGATGCACGACATCACGACGAGAGAATTTTCGACAAAAGAAATATTTTTGTTTCCAAAGATGGACTAGAAGCTAGTGAACCCCAAATTCCCAACCACAAGATGTTCCAAAACCCAACCGTTCATGAATCCACATTAAACTCGTGTTTTTTCCGTTTCGTCAAAAGACCAACGCCCGAATCTAGACATGACACCAACAAGAACGACCCAACGTCTCAGAGACAAGGGGGGAAAGAATTGTGACAAGTGTCACAGTGGGGGTGGTATCTCAATGATTTTCGATCATGGTTGTGGTGAGAGAGGGTGGTTTAAGCTGTTTATTTGCAGCTAGAGCAAGAGCCTGATGGTGTTAGCGAGGCCTCAGTTACAGGTGAGGTTCAGGGGATGGCTTACAGCTAGAGCCGCAGTTGCAGCTAGAAGCGCCAGAGCATCCGCAGTCGCCAGCCATTGTGATTGTTGTTGTGAGGGTTGGGTGTTAAACCGAAAGTTAAAAGGTAATTGATTTGTTTGTTTGTTTGACAGTGAATCGCTGATGGGGAAAAGAAAAACGACAAGGAAGGAATCTGCAGTGCCTTATATAGAGGCTGCGGCCTTTGTGCGTCGTGCGTGTTTTGTGCGTCCGAGATCCACCAGGTGATGCGGGATCAACGTGGGATGAGGGGTTGTCGGGCGCTGGTTGGCGATCCGATCTGAGATGGGGCGCTTTTGAGTGATTTTGGCGGTGGCTTTAACCTTTGGATGCCGCGTGATGGGGTCATTCGGTAGCTGGAGCTGTAGCTGTGGTACGAGATAACAGTGTCGGAGCATCGAGAAGCTTCTGGATAAGCTCACGACGGACTAGGCAGATAGAAACCTTGGTTGTTGTTCCTTGTCATTCGTGAATGGAATCACCCCTCTCTTGCGAGAATCATCTTTAGCTGTCTAGAGTTACTATCCCACTCGTCCGAAGAACAAGGCAAGGTGGTTCTTTGCCACCCGATGCGTCACTATCGCCAGCTCCGATCCAACTTCTCGTGCCAAGTTTCACAGCTCGTCTACCATTTGTCAAGACACGCTTAAAAGAACCATCGTCTCCAGATGACCCTGAACACCCCCCTGTCGGCATGGATGACGGACATGGAACTCTTCCGAGACGGCTTCCAATCCACCAACCATGACCTTTTCAGGGTCCCGATTGCACCCCCCTCTTACGCGAGGTTGCCGATGCAAAATCCGCGCCATCGGGGCGGGGTTCGCAAGTCGGGCTTCACAGCGTCGAGACCTGGTCCAATTGAGCGTCCATGTTTATTATCGTGAGGATCATGTTTTCTGATGTGCAATTTGGCCTGGGATCAATCGCTTAGCACATATCCTTTAGCTTTCTTTACTATAAAGCGTTTGAGGCTATTCCCCATCGTAACATTGGGTTAACGCTGCGATGCCAAGACGTAGTGATGGAGCCCCGTCTGACAGCCATGTCTTGGACCCTGAAACACGACTGAAGCAGCCCATATCAAGCCATTTAACAGATATAACAGATAATTATCGGCATCTTATTAATATTCGTACCTGTATCACATCCGCTTCCCCAGGGTTGGGCAACATCTTGAAACCCAATCGAGACACGTCCAATCTGTCATGGCCTGATTGTTGTAACAACCCAAGCTGACACCAAGTATATAGATTCGCGTTCATAGACTGTCAATAACACAAATTTCTCTACAATCTCAACATCACCACCTTCCCTGTACATTACCGGCGCATCTTCAAACATGAATCAACCTCGACAACCATCTTCAGCCCCTCGCTCCAACAGCCAGCGAACACACCAACCTCGACGACGAGGCACTCGTGGAGGAGGCAGAACAATCAACTCAAATTCGCCCCGAAACAGCACCGCTTCCGGGGATACAGCTCAGACCGTTCACGACCCCGCTGCCCGCCAACAAATGAAGCAGACCATGGCTATCGCCCTTATGACCAACCCTGCCATCCCATTACCCTTTCCACTGGCCATTCCCCTGGGAATCACCATGTTGGCATTCCCGAATGGAAAGGGGAAAGAAGAAAAAGAATCTTCTGGCTAAGCCATATACTTGAGAGCATTCTCCATTACGAAATCCGGGCACACTACCACGTAATCCGACATTGGCCATTGTGTTGATGGTCCAAGAAAGTCCCCGTCACATGCAGGATATAAGACGGGCACCCAGAGACAGCGAGAAGAACAGCCTCGCTCGTATGAAAGAGTGGGAATGCAGTATATAAGGGAGCTTTGTCTAAAAATCATTCAGCACATACGAAAGCGATGATTCAACCCCAGCAGGATAGCATCGCTTGCCCCTCAAGACTATAGAAACATAAACATGGTCTCCCCACAAGCATCCATAGTACAGTCCATACCCCCACACAAGAACCTAGGTCTCTTTCCATTATTCGAAATTTCCTGTGAGTGAAGCTTCAACTCTTCGCCGATGGGAGCCATATCAGCAACCGGTGCTATGGGCGGACTCCTCGGGGACGAAATCTCCTTTGACGACTTGTTGATTTCATTGACGCAGAGACTACATACCCATGGTACAGGTCCAAAGGTACAGTTGTGTGACATGCGTCTTTTGGCTTGTTTGATTACTCGGGTTTCCATCTGGTCCAGTGAAATCGCAAACGAAGTCCACGGGTCGTCGTCTTCAAGCTCATCCTCTGTCCGTGTATTTTTCCTCTTTGACTCATTGAAGGCCTCTTCGGCATTTCTTTTCTTGGTCTCCATCTTGGTCCGTAAGTGTTTGTCCTTTGCGACTCGTCTTGGCTGAATCCGGGTTGGCTGTGGAGGCTTCTCGGTTTCCTTCTCGGGTTTTACAGCGTTATCTGCTTCAACCTCCAGTTCTATCTGACGCCGTGCATACTTTCGAAAATTCTTCTTGCAGAGGGGTGTTTGAATGGGCACTTGGTCCTCGAAGCCTGCGCTTGACATGTTGAATGATGCTATGAGAACTGGGGAAACCGTACGATGTCTGCCAGCCAGATACCGCAACTTCCCCCAAGATTCTCATCAAAAATGATCACAAGGCTCATCATTCCCATGTTTGTACGGATGGCAGTTCCTAGGTGGTGCTTGATTCTACAAGTCTATAAACCCCTGTGTCATACTACCCTGTATATACGCTGTGCAATGTTTATAAGACTGTGTTTCAACCTGGAGGCCATTTCATGGAATAACCAAATTAAAATCATTCTGAAATGCTATCGCTAACATATCCCGTCAATCATATAGCCTTGACATAGGCATCAAACTGCTAGGAGTACCTGAATACTCTCATTATCATGTTGTCCTTGAGTAAACTTACCAACTAGTTACCCCTCCAGAGACCACTCTGCGTCCCTTGCTTGTGCCGATAATTTGTTCCTTTTGTGTATATCAAAAATACTTAGATACGAGTAGAGCCGCGCAGTCCTTGAAGGCACATGGATCGAACTCGGCGCCCCTCACTCATGAACCTGATAGCGCGGCTCCTCACATCTCGATTTCTACAGAACAACTTTAAAAGACCACGTGTACACTGACTCACACCCAATACTTCCCCGCAATCTTGATATCATAAACTAAGCCCTGCAATCCGCTCCGCGCTTCATCTCATCTATCCCCCAGGTTCAGAGCGTCACACGGGGTCCGATGTGGAGTCGCGGCAAACGGCGGACCGAAAGAGATAAAGCCAACCCAATGAGGTCGTTTTCCGCTCTCGCGAATCTTCCTAATGAGGACAACCCAAATGACAAATGCCCCGGTGGTCGGGGCGGCTATTGCTCAACGGTCTCCGAAGGCCGGCAGAAGGAGGGGTGCTTGATTAAAGGCCCGGGGTAGGGCTGTCTTGATTCATGGAGAGCAGGATTACTCTTTCTAGCAACTCTCTTGAGATATTCGGATAACGATGACGCGCACCTTTCGACTTGCTGTGTTGGAGTGTGATACTCCCTTTCCCTCTGTCAACGCCTCGCGTGGCTCATATGGAAACATCTTTCGGGATCTTCTTGTCAAGGGCCTCGATGGCTTGGGTGAGAAGGGAAGCGACGTGAGCCTGGATCTCAGCAAATGGGATGTCGTCACGGCACAAGAGTATCCCAACGTCGATGATGTGGATGGCTTCTTATTGACTGGAAGCAGTATGTGTCATACCTCGTTGTCTCTGAGTTGCGCAAGCTGACCTTTACAGAGTTCACTGCTTTCCACGATGACCCTTGGATTTTGAAGCTGGTCGACTTTGTCAGCAAGGTATACACAACCACCAAGAAGCCTATTGTCGGCATCTGCTTTGGTCATCAGATTATTGGTCGGGCGCTGGGCGCAAATGTTGGACTGAGCCCGGGAGGATGGGAGATTTGTGTCGACAGGATCAACCTCAACGAGACTGGCCAGAAGCTGCTAGGTGTTTCATCACTTGTATGCCTCAACATGCTCCATTCAATCTCTATGCACTAATAACCGCAACAGGGCCTTCATCAAATGCACCGAGATGCCGTCCTGGATGTCCCCAAGGGCCTCGTCAGCCTGGGCAGCAGCCCTCGATGTGAGGTCCAAGGCCTCTATGAGCCAGGCCGCGTCATTTCTTTCCAGGCACACCCCGAGTTTGACGACTTTATCATGTCGGAGATTATGGAGGCGAGGTATGAGCAAAAGATCTTTGACAAGGACATGTACGAGGAGGGCATCACGAGAGCTCGGGCGGCGCACGACGGAGTGCTTGTGTCTTCCAAGATTTGGGAGTTTCTGCTATAAGCGATGGCTTTGATAGGCGGCGATAATATTTTATGAGTTTGATGAGAATAGAAAGGGAATAGAAGGATTATTATCTTGGTCATATAACGGGTTGATGATACTGCGCGTCTCATACCATCGCATCACTCGCACGTCCAAGGGTATACATTATCTATTATGTACTGATACGGGCTATATATTTACATCCAAAATGTTCCCTTTGCAAAAAGAACCACACAAATATCCAAGGCCCTTGGTCTGAGCGACCCGGTTACCGTTGCCCTTCATGTCGCGACGCTCGGCACGGGAACTGAGAAAGCGCTTCCGGTGAGTCATACATGCGCACTTCTCAACGGTAGCTCGGGTGGTGTCATTGATTCACCCGCTCGGTATTGGTAGATCTGCTGTAGCATCACCAACAGCCGCTATGAGGCTGTAGCTATGGTGGCCAACAGTTGCTCCACTGCTCCGGTAACTGTTTCATAGCATCCACTATCCTACGAAATGACATGTGTATGGCAAGGCAAGAGATGTGACACTTGGCGCCTGTCATTCTCCGATGGTGTTTCGGAAGGCATCGAGTGTTTCTGGATAGCGATGCCAAGGTCTTTCGACCCGTGATCAGACCGATCGACCCTAGGCACTGCATAAGCCAGTCACTGCAGATGCTTAGGAAGTTGGGCCAGAGACTTTTAGCCCTTGTTGGACATGATAGGATCCCGCGTTTCTCATCTCACGCAAATGATATCCAGATCTGGTGCTCCCGCATCGCCCTACACAAGGTCCAAGGACTGACTTGGTCCAGCGGCTCCTGCCAAATATGTTCCAGCAGCACTAGAGTTTGCCTCATATTCCCTAGCCCGATAGTGTCTAGCATGGTCTGTAATCGGTCCCTTAGAACCTGTTGCACAATCGGGTCTGACGTGCAGCAGCCGATGACGGCAAGGGGCCAGCAAAGACTCGTGTTTATCCTCTCGCTGGCGGGAAACTGATCGAGTAATGTGATGGCTTCTGCCACAGCGGAGTCCATCAAAGCCTTGTGGACACTGTTGCTGGCTTGTGGTTGAGGTGTGCCCAGCACCGACCAGAGGTAGAGTAGAACCGCCTGTTTCCATACCAGGCCAGCGAGTCTCGAGTAGGGACTGACTGAAGGATCAGGGAAGAAGCCCATGACCTGTGACTGGAGAAAGGCAAAGTTGACGATGCTATCGGGACTTGGGGGAACTGTTTGTCCATCTACGACTGCCAACATGCTTTGTCCGAGATGGAAGATTTGTGAGATGAGGATGAGAAGTTCCAGCCAGCACCCGCATAGTTGACCGACATATTTCCGAGCGACGAGCTCTCTGGCTCGAAATTCGATGTCTGGACTTAATAGTGATTGCGAGTTGTACTGGGGATCGATGGAGATCATGCTGGTGGCTGCCATGTGCATGTAGTATTCGATAAGAAAATCCGGCAAGTCGCCATACGGTTCTGTTTGGCCTCCAGTGAGTAAGGTGCTCACTAATGACTTGGAGGCTGTAAGATGGTCAAAGATGGTGCCGTGAATATCTCCTTTGGCGACCTGCGACGGTGTCAGTGTCTACCACTTAATGAGAAGCTGTGGGCGTTGCAGACCTCGGTCAAGCACATGATGAGACTTCCGACAGTCAAGACGAGAGTATTCTCAGCATTCCCAGAGACGTATTCATCAACGACATTCCTAAACATGCGTAGCGAGTCCGTATAGTATCTCTGGGCGACCTCATCAGTTGGCAGCGGCTCAGCCGACGCCTGACGATGAGCGGCACTTTGTGCGAGGATGAGTTGTAAGACTAGAGGTTTGGAAAAGGCCAGCGGGATGAGCTTGGCGATAAAGGGGTTGACGTCTGTTGAGCCGTTGCCCATGCTGTTGGCTGTCCGTGCTAGATAGTAACTGAGAAGCTCGTAGGAATGGTGACCTTGCTGAGGCAGCATCGACATTGGCATGGGGATGCCGCCGTTGATAGTGAAGCCTGCATCTGAAGGTCCGGCTGATGCGACGGCCAGGGCGAGAGCGTTGGTGACATCTCGATCATACCTGGCAGCGGGAAGTATAGTGGTTGGTGAGTCTGACGAGCTAGCTGACGATGTTGTAGTTGATGCAGATGGCGAAGGTTGACCTTGATCCTCAGCCTCGTCATCAGCCTCGGCATCAATCATGTGGGCATCATCAGACGTCGGGGAAGTGTCGTCAGGGGGACCGGGTCCGTTCTGGAGCAAGCCGGGATGTGACGAGGCGAAGACGACAATCGTCGGCTGGTCCTCCGGGTCCGGCTCGGCCTCCGGCTCATGGTCCGATTCAAGCTCGGTCTGCTGCCGGCGATGCTGGAGAGGTTGTGAGAAGGAACGGCGCTCAGTCGTGACTTGAACTGGACGATGGATACCCGCCGACGCCGAGTCCGGGGCGACCGAGGCACTGGCCTTGCTAGTCCGCGGCTGAGACGATGAAGATGAGGAGTTGTTGGTATTGTTAGTCGGCTCGGGCCAGTGACACTCGAGCTTGTTACGCTTGCAGCCGCTGCACACGGGCTTCTTCTCATCGCACTTCTTCTTGCGACGACGGCAAGTGAAGCAGCCCGTCCTGCTCCGGATGATGGGCATGGGCCTCATGCCGGAGAGGAAGAGTGGGTTGACAGGTACAGGATCTGGTGGACACACAGCGCCTGCCTGCACGAGGTAGGCGCCTTTTGCCACACCCGTAGGTAAAAAGCCAAGCAAGGGGTGGTCCCTTGGGGATCTTGCTTGCTTGGTTGAGCAAGCAGCGCGCGGTTTGATGCCGTATGTCGGATGGGACCTCCGGGGGGCCAGACAAGCGAGTGGAGGTGTTTGGGCAGTGGGGGAACTGCTCGTCAGTTCTTGGTAGATACGGTTATTACGTATGGGGAGATGTTGAGTGGGCATCCCTGGACGCTAACCGGGAGCATAAGAAAGTGAGGCGGGCAGCCTACCCTAGACCAGAACGCCCAGCTTCCTGTTTGTCCTTCCAGAGCCGTTCTAGGGGCGCAAGCCATGGCGGGTCTAGACGCTCACTTGGATCTCTCAGGTACCTCGAGGTAGCTCACTTCCGGCTCAAACCCACCCTAACGCAAATCCTCGGAGCGCGAGTGGGGCAACCCTCCCGGACTTCCATTCCTCCAGATTGTGACTCGGTGACGTTGTTTAACTCGGTGACAATGGCGATTGATTGTCTTGGGAGGTACTCATGATCCGGCGGCGCAACGAGAGAGATGGCCGGGCTGAGCTACGGTACATGATGTGGGACCTTTTTCATCTCGGAAATGTTCTTTTTTTCCTTTTCTTATTAGATGATAAGCTCCTCTTGAAGATTGGTTGAAGCTGTCTTTGTCCTTTTGGAAGAGCTAGTTCACCATCTCGTAATACCGTCGCCATGATTAACATGAGGGCTCTTCGACAGACTGGCCAATGCCTCCGAGGCAAGTCGTCTCTGGCCAGCCGTGTCTCTACGAGAACATTTGCTTCTCAAACAGATGTGAGAATCATTTTCGACGAGATCATGACCATTGATAGCTGACTTGTATAGCTTCTGGGTGCTACTCTTCAGAATGGCGACCCTGAGATCCACGCCATCTTGAAGCGCGTAAGTATCACCACCAACCTCAATTGACATAATCTAACTTCTTCGCAGGAGGAGACGCGCCAAAACCACTTCATCAACCTTATCCCCTCGGAAAACTTCACTTCGCGATCCGTCCTCGATGCTCTTGGCAGTGTTATGCAGAACAAGTACTCGGAGGGATACCCCGGTGCTCGATACTATGGTGGTAATGAGCACATCGACGAGGCCGAGCGTCTGTGCCAGAAGAGAGCTCTCGAGGCTTTCCGTCTTGATCCTGAGCAGTGGGGTGTCAATGTTCAGCGTAAGTGATCATCCATGGCTTTTCTTGGATGAGATACTGATGGTTTGTAGCTCTTTCTGGCTCTCCTGCCAACCTCTACGCTTACTCCGCTCTCCTCAACACCCATGAGCGCATCATGGGTCTCGACCTTCCTCATGGCGGCCATCTCTCCCACGGCTACCAGCTACCTCACAAGAAGATCTCGATGGTGTCCAAGTACTTCGAGACCTTCCCCTACCGCCTGAACGAGGAGACTGGCTTAATCGACTATGACAAGCTCCGCGACAACGCTATCCTCTACCGACCCAAGATCATCATCGCCGGAACCTCTGCCTACTCTCGCCTTATCGACTACGAGCGCATGCGTGCTATCGCTGATGAGGTTGGCGCATATCTTTTGTCTGATATGGCTCACATCTCTGGCCTCGTTGCCGCTGGTGTGATTCCCTCGCCTTTCGACAAGTCCGATGTTGTGACGACTACTACCCACAAGTCCCTTCGAGGTCCTCGAGGTGCCATGATCTTCTTCCGCAAGGGCGTGCGAAGCACCGATAAGAAGGGCAACAAGATCCTGTACGACCTTGAGGGTCCTATCAACGCCTCTGTCTTCCCCGGCCACCAGGGTGGTCCTCACAACCACACCATCACTGCCCTCGCTGTCGCTCTCCGCCAGGCCAAGAGCCCTGAGTTCGCCGAGTACCAGAAGACAGTTCTCACAAACGCACAAGCTCTCTCCAACCAGCTTTCCAGCCTTGGCTACAAGCTTGTCTCTGGTGGCACTGATAACCACCTGGTGCTCGTCGACCTCAAGTCCAAGGGCGTCGACGGCGCCCGTGTCGAGCGTGTTCTCGAGCTCGTCGGCGTTGCCAGCAACAAGAACACAGTACCTGGCGACCGCTCCGCCCTCAAGCCCGGCGGTCTCCGTCTTGGAACACCCGCCATGACGACCCGTGGCTTCTCTGCCGAGGACTTTAAGCGCGTGGCCGACATTGTCGACCGGGGCGTCAAGATCACCATCGCCGTAGACAAGGACGCCCGAGCAGCTGCCGAGGCCAAGGGCGCCAAGAACCCCAAGACCGTCAAGGCCTTCCTCGAGTATCTTGGTGATGGATCTTCTGTCAAGGAGATTGGTGAGCTGCGGAAGGAGGTTGAGGAGTGGGTTGGCGGATTCCCCCAGCCTTGGCTTCAGTCGTGAGACATGGTTATGGACGTAAAATAATGATATCTTGAGCGTTTAAAAAAAGTATTTTATTGTTAATGTGTGTTTGAGCATCTGTAGCCGGTGTAGCTGTTGTCCTACGGGACTATCTCACATCTTGACGTGTCGAGTGTCAACTGACTGCTTTCGTGTCTGTAGTTGAACCCTCCATGATAATTCTGCTGCACAACTTGTCCACACCATGTTTACTTCTTCAATATTATTGGGCATTGGAGAGTAACAATGTGATCATGACACCGTTGTCATACCCGGCATGGCCTCTCGGAACCATTTCTGCGTCTTCCACCGGACCCCTCAGGAAAACAAACTCCAACGTAATGAAATCCTCGTTTGCAATTACCCAATTACTCATAGCTGAGCATCAATTGGTCTTCGCTTAAGCCATTGTTGGGTCACGATGTCCAACAATCCGGGGTTCCAGAAGGCAAAAAAGTCGTGAGCAACCCTCCAAGCGCGTCATCAAGGGCCGTGCTCACCAGATCTATACTTGACTCAGTGAAAGTGCCAGGTACCATCTACTTCTCCCTCAAAGTGGAGAATCGGAAGTGGCATCGCGGTCAGAGATTTCGGCGGCGGAAAACGGCCGAGCTGCACGCGGCACCGTCTCTGATTGGTTCTTCTCAAAAAGGTGAGGCGCTCCTCGGCAGATAACAAGTATCTCTACAAGTAAGCGTGGCACCCACAAGTTTTCCCATGGCCTGATGGAGGGGGATCTCAGAAGATTGTGGGGGCCTCCAACCTCCGCATGTGAAATGTAATTCATTTCATGACAACTTGCAAAAAAGCCAGGGGCCAACTCGGTGCAGGAAACGCCTTCTCCGTTACGCACTAATTGGACATGAGCCGGGCGGTCTGCCGGGGTCGGTCAGTGACTCCGAGGTACATCGGAAGAACCCCGAGCGCGAGCATATCTTTGCTGGGGAAAAGGTGTGGACATGAAAGTCCAGGACAAAACAAATCTTAGAGAGATAAACAAGAAACCACCATCGAACTTCGCTCTTCTCTGTAAATCTTTACACATCACCAGTCACAATGTCGGGATTCATCGCTAGACAAGCTTGGGCTACTGCCTCTCGAGTGAGGTCTTCTGCTCTTCGAGCTCCTCAGACTGTCTTTGCTTGCAAGGCCGCTAGCATTGCTCCTCGACGATGCTTTTCAGTTTCTCTTAACCGTGAGTTGCACCTCTTGATCTTTCATGAGAGGTTATTCTGACATTTTACAGTCCTCAAGAGGCGATACACTGAGAGCCACGAGTGGATTGACCTGGCTGATGATGGCAAGACCTGTAAGCGCACTTTGACTCAACAAGTTCAAACAATTAACACCTTTAGGCACAATTGGCATCTCCAACTACGCCGCTGAAGCTCTCGGCGACGTTGTCTACGTTGAGCTCCCCGCCACAGGCGACGAGACGACCGAGGGCGAGTCCTTCGGCACCGTCGAGTCCGTCAAGTCTGCCTCTGACATTGTGGCCCCCGTCTCTGGTAACGTCATCGAGGTCAACGAGCCTCTGAACGACACCCCCGCAGATCTTGGAAAGGATCCTGAGGGCGAGGGATGGCTCATCAAGGTTGAGGCCGAGGACGTTTCTGCCCTGGAGGGATTGATGGATGAGGCTGCTTACGCTGAGCACACCAAGGATCACTAAATGCAAAAGGTTCACTCGGTGTTTTCTTGTCAGGTTAATGGTGTTTTTAAAAAGCGAATAGATATCAAGTCCCAAGTCACATTTTGGCGTCATCATGAATTTTTAAGTGAAACAATTTTGGTGTTTTTAAACTTTGGTGGATTCTTTAAACGTGTCATTTTTTTAACTTGTGTGAATTGGTTCAACTTTTATCTAGTAAAACTATTGCTTATCGCAAAAACTCTGCCAATCAGAGATCAATTCGCCTTTCGTTGAAGAGGTTCCAACACTGAAAACCTTCCAAGCAATGCAATAGGAGCCATCATGGTTGAATATGATCTTTTTTCCCGCTTTCCAAAATAAACAAACGCTCTACAAAAACTGAATCCCATCATCTATCGTTTAACCTATTATCTCCCTTTTTTTCCCCTCTACAGGTTCTCACTTCCCTCGACAGGTGGGCATGTGCAGAACAGGTTGGTATCACCGTAAGCATCATCCACGCGGGCCACAGAGGGCCACATCTTCTTCTCCCGAAGCCAGGGTAGGGGGTAAGCTGCGTCCTCACGGCTATAAGGTCGGTCCCACTCGGAAGAGACGAGATCCTCCTGGGGGTGAGGGGCGTTCTTGAGGAGGTTGTTCTCCCTGGGGGTCTTGCCAGACTCAATGTCGGCAATCTCCTTGCGGATCTGGATGAGAGAGTCGCAGAAGCGGTCGAGCTCAGCGCGAGACTCGGACTCGGTGGGTTCAATCATGAGAGTTCCAGAGACGGGGAAGCTCATGGTGGGGGAGTGGAAGCCGTAGTCGGCCAGACGCTTGGCGATATCGGCAACTTCAACACCGGCAGTCTCCTTGAAGGGACGGACATCGAGGATGAACTCGTGAGCGCATCGTCCGTTGGCGTTGG